ATCTGTGGGAAGAATGAATGGCCAGTAATGAACTGTGCAGATTTAGATGCACAATCAAGAGATTCGACACCTGTGTGATAGAAACCATTACGACCATCAAGCTGGCAACACACCCGTCAAGCCCAAAAGTGTGCTTGTACCCCTTTGTCATACTCCTCTGTCCTGACTCCGCCATCTGTTGTCATAACAGATTCATTCACATCTTCTAGGGTTTTGCACAAACAGAATCATATGGTATCTACTCTTTTTTTTGGTCTGGTTTCTTCCCCTCAATATAATTATTTTTGAGATCTTCTAGCACAGAGAGCAGTCTCTACAGAATGTTCACCATCTTGTCCTGTTTGGTGCTTTTCTCAACGGCTTAGACAAGGATACAGAAAAATTATGTTTATATTAAAATCCTCAAGGGGCGCCTTGAGTGTCCGACTTTAGCTCAGGTCATGATCTCATGGTTGGTGGCTTCGAGCCCCACGTCGGGCTCTGTGCTGACAGCTCAGATCCTGGAGCCTGCTTCAGATTCTGTCTCCCTCTCTTTGCCCCCACCACCCCCCCCCCCCGCTCGTATTCTGTCTCTCCCTCTCTCAAAAACGAATTTTAAAAAATTATTTTTAAATAAAGATTTTTTTGTTGTTGTTCTTAAGTAATCTCTACACCCAACATGAGGCTCGAACTCATAACCCTAAGATCAAATCACATGCTCCTCCACCTGAGCCAGCCAGGAGCCCGCCCTGGAGCTCCCTCTTCAGCAACAAGGGAGGCAGCAACCACATAGGTCACATCCTCCCTCCTTGGAAATCACACGTGGGGCTGGCCAGTAGCGTCTGGGAAGAAAGGCAGATTTTGTTGGCCAGTCCCTCACCTCAGATAATTCTTTTTTTTCTCAGTTTATTTATTTATTGAGTGTGTGAGAGAGAGCAAGCAAGGTAGAGGCAGAGAGAGGGAGGGAGAGAGAATCCCAGGCAGGCCCCAACGCGGGGCTTGAACTCACAAACTGTGAGATCGTGATTTGAGCCAAAATCAAGAGTTGAACATTTAACCAACTGAGCCACCCAGGTGCCCCACGGATAATTCTTTTTATTTAATCCTTACAACAATCCTTACTGCTTGACAAAGGGGAGACTGAGGCACGGAGAGGTGAAGCAACTTGATGTAAGCCACAGTCAGTAGAGCCAGGATTTACTCAAACCGGGAAGGCAGAGCCCAGGGCCCCCGGGGCCCACGGCCCTACAGCTGGCCCCACACCTGGGCTCACACCTTGGCAGCGATGGAGGGCGAAACCGGCTCTCCTATGTAACCACGCCCACCCGGAGGCAGTTTTGGCCAAGCTGGCTTCCACAGGGCCCTGTTCCACTCTGATAATCTGCAAGTGTGTAGAAATGACACTCCAAACTTCAACCTCTCTGTCATGAATGACCTGCTGTTAACATTTAGTGATTAAATAGCGGCCTTGTTGATTCATTAACCATCTGCCCCACGCTCCCCGGCAGGCCTCTGGAGTCGCAAACACCTTTGCTGCGCAGCCCCTCGTGCCGCAAGTGGGCTTCCCGGGGAGGGCTTGCGAACACAGAGCTCAACGGCTTTGGGTTTAAACAAAATGTGCAGGAGAATTTCCCTAAATGCACAGACTCCTATCAACAATTCTCAGGGACTTTTGGGTCTAGGACTTTTTACAAGAACCCCCAAGAGCCCTCATTTATATGCGTTCTATCAACAGCAATGTACGGAATTAAACATTTAAATAAGAAAGCAATTTAGGGGCGCCTGGGTGGCTCGGTTAAGGTTCAGAAGTCGGCTCAGGTCATGATCTCGCGGTTTATGGTTCGAGGCCCGCGGCGGGCTCTGTGCTGACAGCTCAGAGCCTGGAGCCTGCTTCAGATTCTGTGTCTCCCTCTCTCTCTGTCCCTCCTCTGCTCGTGCTCCGTCTCTCTCTCTCCCTCTCAAAAATAAAAACATTTTAAAATTTTTAAATGAGGAAGCAATTGAGGACATGTATTAATTACTTAAAAGCAACAATAGCAACAACAAAGAGGTGACAATAGCAAACCCACTGCATGTTAAATAGGATTCTTATGAAAAGCGACCATATTTTCCTGAAAGATTCAGTGAGAAGGGTGGCATTGTTCCACATATTGGCAAAGCTCTTGACTATCTGGGTTAATAGAAGACAGCTGGATTCTCACATTTGCTCCTGTATTGAGTCTGTTGTGACATCTCATGTCATGCAGCCTCTGGAAAACTCCACTGGGCATTTGTGAAATAACCAGAGGAAAAAAAGAAACATGGCATCTTAGTATTTATATAAGGATCATTGTAGGTACTACCTCGTCTTCCCGACAAAATAGCTCGGCACTATTATGACATCCCCCTTTTGAAGAGGAGAGGAGGTGGACTAGAGCACTTTCCACCAGAACACACAGCCAGGAGCAGAGAAGCCAGAATGAGGACCGGGGTCGGCCTGCCCCCTCATCTCTGGGCTCTACCCCGCCACCGTCCAGCAGCCAAGGCAGATGGAAATCCACCCAGGTCTGTGAGAACCGGGACCTGGACAACAAACAAAACCGAGAGAGAGAGGCAGAGACAGAGAGACAGAGAGAGAGGAGGAAAAAAAAGTACATGAGATTCTGACCCCAAGTCCAATGTATGGGTTTCCCCCCACACCACCACACAATTCTGCGATACCAGCGGGTGTCCCCCACTTCGACACAATTCGGACACTCTTTCCCTGGAGACAGTGTCCCAACTCACAGGTGAAGGGCTCAGTCCCATGAGACGGCCCCTCCCCCACTTCACCGGAGCTTCTGACCCACCTGGTACAGATGGGACTTTCTGAGGACGCCCTCGGGCAGTTGGGTTACTTCGCTAGAGTGTCTGAAAGAACTCAGAAAAGTTTTACTTGCTAGATCACAGGTATACTATGAAGGGATGTAACGCTTAGCCTCTCTCTCTCTTCCACAACCCCAACGTGCTCATCAACCCCAAACCTCTCCAAACCCTGTCCTTTTCGGTTTTTTAGAGGCTTCATTACACAGATATGACTGATTAATTCATTGCCATTGGCGATTTATTCAACTTCCAATCCCCCACAGATCAGTGGGTGGGACCAAAGGTCTAACCCCCAATCACATGGTTGGCTTTCTGGGCAACCAGCCCCCACCCTCCTGGGTGGGTCCCAAAATCACCTCATTAACATGACAAGAAGCCACCTTGATCTCTCTCACCAGCTTAAAAAGCTCCAAGGGTCGGGGCACCTGGGTGGCTCAGGTGGTTGAGCATCCCACCCAACTTCAGCTCAGGTCATGCTCTCCCAGTTTCTGTGTTTGAGCCCCGTGTCCGGCTCTGTGTTGACAGCTCGGAGCCTGAAGCCTGCTTCGGATTCTGTGTCTCTCCCTCTCTCTGCCCCTCCCCTGCTCACATGGGGTCTTAGGAATAATCATAAAAAAAAAAAAATCAGAAAGTAAGAGTAGTATGAAAGCTCTCTTTACAGAGGGGGGGCCCTTGGGAAGTGAATGCCTGTGCCCGTTTCCGTGGGATGAGGGGTGGTCTATTGCCTTACTGTTCCTTGGGTCCTAACATTTTATGGTCTGCTTACCCTTAGCCAGGTCTTTCGTCAGTTTCCTAAGGGACAGCTGAGGGGGAGTAGGTGGTGTCTGTTACAATTTTTAAGAGAAACTTTATGCCTGAGGGAGTTTGCTCCAGGTCAGACCTTCCCAGAAGCAATGTTTTAAAACTTGTGTTTTTCCCCAACCGGAGGGAGACCTTCTAACCCTTAGCCTCTCCCTTTCTGCCTCCTGAATCCTTTTCTTTCCCATTCATTGTGTCATTTGCATCCAATCAAACGCACAAAAATTTCCCCCAGTGTAAATGTCATATTTATTACAGTGCTTATGTCTTTGTTATTTAACCATGTATAAAACTGTGCTATTTTTTATTTTTAAATTAAAAATTATTTGTTTTTGAGAGAGATTGAGCACGCACATATGGATGGGGGAGGGGCAGAGAGAGGAGAGAGAGGCTCCCAAGCAGGCTCCTCCTTGTCATCGCAGAGCCTGATGTGAGGTTCCAGGCTTGAACCGTGGGATTAGGACCTGAGATGAATTGAAGAGTCAGATGCTTAATCGACTGAGCCACCCAGGCGCTCCTGAGCTATTTCTTATTTGGTTCTTCTCTTTCTTCTATATGTCACTGAGGAAATTGTTCTATTTGAGTACGGTGGACACGCAATGTTACCTTAGCTTCGGGTGAACAAAAATAGCGATTCAAGCAGCTTGTACCGTATGCTGTGCTCACCACAAGGACGGCTACCTGTGTCACCACAGCGCTACTGCAGTACCATTGCCTACAGTCCTCAAATGCTCAGATTTTGATCCTTCAGCCCAAGGGGCTTGAACAATTGTATACACCCATATAATTCCTGCCCAAGTGAAAACGGAAACGTCCATTTGCTTCAGGAAGTGCCCCCTTCCAGTCATTTCCTGTCTTACTCCCACCTTCTGAATTCTATCACCGTACATTCATCTTTCCTGCTCTTGAACTTCATAGAAACAGAATTGGAAATGGACTTCAACCACCTCCATTTTTTGTTTTTTTTTTTCCCCTCTAACTGTATTATTTTTGAAACAGAGAGAGAGAGAATCCCAAGCAAGCGCTGCACTGTCAGCACAAAGCCTGAAAGGGGGTCGGAAACCCACGAAGCACCTGAGCTGAAACCGAGTCGGGGCTCAACTGAAGGAGCCACCCAGGCGCCCCAACCACCTCCATTTTGACCTCAAACGCTCTCTTTCATTAAGTTATCTCCAGCTTATCTCTTATCTCAGACAACAAGCAGGAGGGGAAAGCATCCCACAGTGGGAACCCACACTAGCCCCTCAGGCAAGAAGGACCAAGACCCTCTCGGCCGGCCACCAAGCCAATGACGACCTGACCTTTACGGCCCACCTGCCTGGAGCCACCGACCTTTGTCCCACTTTTCCTTATATAAACCTGGAGGCATTCCTCACACTTGAGAAAGTTCTCGGCCTTCGGATCTTGCCAGCGGCCCTGCGGCTGCCCCGGCTCCGTCCGGGACTCTCCCCGCCCGACCCCTGCACGCAGCCGGCGCTCCCGCGCGCCTGCGCCCTGGCCACGGCGTCAGAAGGTACGCACCCCTCCGCGTCGGCTCGCGCGTGGCGGCGCCCGCCCGTAGCCCGTTCCCCGCGCCGCATGGCGGCCGCTGCGTGTCCTCGCCCCGCGGGGCGCCCTGGGGCCGTGGCGAGCGGGGCCTCAGCGTCCGCGGCTTCCGGCCCGGCCCGTCCGTTTGCCTCTCTACAGAAATACCCGGGAGTGCGGCTGCTGGGCGGCCGAACAGGGAGGCGTCTGTTCACTTCGTAAGAAACTTCCGGAAAGGTCTCCCACGTGGTCGTGCCGTTCTCTAGCCCGTTCCTCGCAGGGGACAAGGCGGTGGCCGGCGGGCCGCAGCCGGCCCTCACAGATCAACAGCCCTGAGACTTAGTTCATTATTTTCCGAGACTTAATTTTTATGTTTTTTGAGAGGGCGAGCTGGAGTTCGAGCGGCGGAGGGGCCGAGGGGGGCCCCGTCCCACGACCCCGGGGTCATAACCCGAGCTGAAGTCCAGAGTGGGACGCTCATCCGACCAAGCCACCCAAGCGCCCGGACAGTCATGAGACTTTACACGTAATTCTGGGCTTCTCAGTTTTCTAGAATAATCGGAAGGTCTGGCCCCATTGGGCCCGTGTACCTCACGTTAGAGCTGAGCCATGCCTGTCCCCTTTAGCAGGGACACATGCTCTTCAGTGGGCCGCGGCCCCACCTGGCCGGCCTGCCTCCTTTCCGTACCTCGGACGTCAGCGGCCTGACCCCGGAAGGCACCCGCAGCCCCCCAGGCACGTCCACGTGGTCAGGGCCGGGCCCCAGGTTCCTGGAGCAATGCTCCTTCGGTAGCACCCACAGCCCTCGGTATTGTGGCCCACGGCAGCGGGTCACAGTCCCAGGCTGTCCACTTCCTGGCCTTCTGTGTGTCCCCCTTTTCCAACACCAGCTGTCCCCACCCCTTCCCCCAGAAGACCCTACCCCGCCCCGCCCCTGCCTGCAGGGCTCTGGGTTCCAATCCTAAATCTGCCCCTCACAGCTGGGTGGCCTTGGGCAAGTTACTGGCCTCTTTGTTTCCTCTTCAGTCAAAGTAAGATAATCAGGCTCCATCTCAGAGGGTTGTTGGAAAGACCAAGTGAGCAAAGACGTGGAGAGAAAGCACTTAGAACGAAGGCTGGTGCGTATTCACTATCACTGTTCTTTCTGAATTCCGCTGCAGGGTGGGGGGATGGGGGGAAGCAGCACACCCAGGGCCCGGCCGGGTCTGGTGAAGGAGGGAGATGGGCTGGAGGGAGGGTCTGTGGTGACAGGGTGGGTGGCCATGACTCTGCTCCAGCCGGTGGCTGTCATGTGGCACTGTGGGCCTGGTGTGGCCAGATCTTCAGAATTTAAAAAACAATTTTTTTTAATGTTAATTTTTGAGAGAGAGACAGTGCAAGCAGGGCAGGGGCAGAGAGAGGGAGAGAGACACAGAATCCCAAGCAGCTTCCAGGCTCTGAAGTGTCAGCACAGAGTCTGACTCGGGGCTCAAACTCACAAACTGAAAGTGCAAGAGCATGACTTGAGCCAAGTCGGCTGCTTAACCGGCAGAGCCACTCAGGCGCCCCCAGGTCTTCAGAATGATCTAGGAAAGTGGGAAATCAGAGTTTTGTTTAGAGTCTCCTGCTTTGTAAATGCTAGTACCTATTCCAAAACTGTTTTTGAACGCTCTGAGCATCCAGTAAAGTGTTGCTGTGTCCTCATTGCTTGCCCTGGTGCCGCGGGACCCATGGCTTGGTCACTCCCAATAGCCCCCCTGGGAACCAGACGCCTGTCTTTGCACTGCCTTGGTCGGGAGTGCACCCGGGGAAAGGGGCTGAACAAAGAGTGGTCACTGTTACTGTGCTGCAGTGATGGGGCCATGGCTGCAAGTGCCCTCCTGGGATTTTTCCGCTGTCCCCTGCCTCCCCACCTCCCAGCACCCACATCTCTCCTCCCCCTTCCCTCCTTCCCTGTCCCCGGCGTGGACATGGGCCAGTGGAGGAGTGGGTGAGTGAAGCAGGACAGTGTGGGGCTCCTGCCGCTCCCCTCCCCCTCCCTGCCATGGGCCCCCTACCAGGTGAGGGCCCAGTGGAGGCTGTGTGGGCGGAGCTCAGGGATTACCCTCCTCCTCACTGGGGCCTGCACAGAGTTCAAGTTCAAGGGTTCAGGGCTGGGCCCAGCCTCTCCCATGCATGGGGGAGATCGTTCTCTTCCTCTGATCCCTGCTGCAGTGAGGCTGGAATTTGGAGTTTGACCCGCAAGGAGGCTCTCAGCTGTAGGCGGTGCAGGAGAGGGCGGCCACCTTCCTCAGGCTGTGAGGGAGAAGGAGCCCGGGGGGGGGCCCCCCCGGCTTCTCCACGACCTCCTTCTGCCTCAGAAACCACCGGCAGGGCTCAGGGCAGGTGAGCCCTGCATCAGAAGAAGGTAAGATTCCCTGCTGGCACCCCGCCCAGCCTCGAGCCCATTCTCCAAGCTGGGGACCTTGGACTAGGGAAGGCAGGCGGTAGTGGCCGAGAGGACTCCAGCTGCGAGCCGGGGGTGGGGGCACAGCTCCCCTCTACCAGGCACATGGAGTGTGTGTTGAGGGGGGGGTGGGTACAGCCCTTTGGCACCAGGATGGTCCCTGTTCATCCACTTCCCAAGTTGAGACAGCTGATATTTCACTTCACTGAGCCTCAGGTCCCCTTATCTGTTAGATGGGAATGTAAACCTCAGCCCAGCCCAGCCTACAGGCCTGCTGTCTCCCAAGGACCCAAAGAGATAACGTGAGTGGAAGTATCTTTGTAAACCACTGAAAGGCAGGAGGGATGGGCTGCTGACTGCAGGGTTGCTATTTACAAGGCAAATAGGAGTTTCACTGCAAAATGCTGGGCACGTGCACCGGGCTTCACTTCCTGAGCCAGGTCCCCACTGAGGACACAGGCACCCTGATTCACAGACAGAGAGCAACAGCCATTCAGAAACATGCCCAGGTTTGCACAGATAGTGAGCAGCAAAGCCAAGACTCGCCTCCCACAGCCATGAGCTCACCTACAACATCTGGCTTTCTGCTGGATGATTCTGGAGAAGTGGAAGAGAGAGGTGCCCTCCCAAAGTCCTGGGGGTAGGACTTGGAAGGAGGGGTCACAGTGTGTAAGGCTATATAGCAAAAGGTCTGGAAATCCTATCATTTTTTATGTGTTTGTTTTTTTATTGGAAATCTCATGTTTGTTACTCAGATGTTTATTGAGTGCCAGCTTCAGACAATGTGAGCAAGAGAGACATGGTCCCTGCTTTCCAGGAGCTTACAGTAGCGGCGATGGCCAGTGATAAGAGACTCGTACAGATCAGACGTCTCGTTTGATTCAACAGTGAGGAAAAGTCACGTTTGTTATCACGGCAAATAACTTAAGGACCTGATTTATAGTCTGAGGCTGGGAGAGAACTCTTTTGGGGTTGACATCTGAAGGCTGGATAGGAGCTGGTCAGGTTAAGGCCAGAGAGAGGGAAGAGCATTCCAGGCAGAGGGAACAGAATGGCAAAGACCCTGAGGTCAAGGTAGTGCTCAAGGGCTGGTAAGAGATGAGACTGTTGATGACCTGATCTGATATATGGTCAAAGATCCCTGTGGCTTCCATACCAGGGGTGGAGTGGAAGGGGAAGAGGAAGGAGGTCCTTGCCCTAGTATAGACCCAGGTGATGCGGCCTCTGGATGGGTGGAAGCCTGGAAGTAAAGGTAAAGGAAAATCGACAGATTCAGTCATGCTTGGGAGGTAGAAGGGAATGAATTAGGGACCATTAGATTCTGGGAGTTGAGAAAGAGACACTATAAACTCTTCGATGGTGTGTGTCTGCATGCCCTGGTAGCTGTCATGCTTGGCACAGTGCCCCGCACATCACAGATGCCCCCAGGCCACTGGTTGGATGAGTGAATGAATGAACGCATGACTTAAAGCTCTCAGGTGTCTGTAAGCGGCAGGGTGTGCTAAGTGGCCGCCGAGTGAAGTGGTGGGTACTGGGTTCCAACAGCACACTCCCCAAATTAGACGTGTTCTGTTTGCGATGCCACGTTGGCATCTGGATGGTCTGTTCTCCAGGAATCATGAGACAGGTCATCCTTGAAGGTCTTCACCCCTGGAATTTACCCTGCCAAGGGGTCCACATGCCAGGCAGCGGTTACCAGCTTAGGGGTTAAGCCTGGGCGGGACCCGAGTTCAGTCATTTACCAGCAGTGTGACTTTGGGCCTGGCACCTCTGCTTTATTTTTCTCCCCTGTCCAGTGGGATTAATCAGAGACCTGACCTCTGGGGTGCTGTGGGTTTAAAATGAGATGCACACATGTAGGCAGCCAGGACCCATTTGACCACAAAGTCCAGGCTCTTTTTTTTTTTTTCTTTCTTCTAACAAGCAGAGGGACACACCAAGTGTTCTAGATGTAATCATGTTATATAATGGATTTGCTTAATGCTTTAGCAAACCTGTGACATAGGTCTCAGTATTACCCCCATTTTATCGATGGGGAAACTGAGCCTCAGAGAAGTTATTTGGCCAAGATCATCGAGCTCATTAAGAGGCAGAGGTGGGATTTGAACCAGGCAGTGCAGTTCAGTATCTTTACATTTGATCAGGGCACATCTCTTTCCCAGAGAGCTTTGGTCTATAATTAAGACTTGCAGTAAAATTGTCATCTTTTGTCAGAGCGGGGCCCCTCCCTAGTTTCTGTCTGTCTGTCTCTTTTCTTTCCTGTCCCCAATAATGTGTTTGACAAATATGCCTGCATCCTGACAAAATACTTCTATTTTGTGTCTTGGCATATATTTAATATACGCAGATGGTTTTGGGCTGTAAGTCTTGTTCTGTTTGTTTCTGTTTCTTTTGTCATGAAATATTTCAAGACACATAAAAGTTCTAAAGAATCATATAGGGGCAGCCTGGGTGTCTTCAGTCGTTGAGCCCCTTGGTTTTAGCCTAGGTCATGATCTCATGGTTTGTGAATTTGAGCCCTGCGCTAGGCTCTGGGCTAACAGTGCGGAGCCTGCTTGATATTCTCTCTCTGCCCCTTCCCTGCTTACTCTCTCTCTCTCTCTCTCAAAATAAAAGAATCATGTAAACCTGGTCCGCGGCAGTGGAGGCACACAGGGGAACTAGCCTGAGAAACCTGGTACCCTCACCCCACCTGCAGACGTGTTTTCCAGTCTTTTCTTGCAGTGGGGCGTGGAAAATTTCTACATCTACTGTGGCAAATTATGTAACCGGCTAAAAGGAAAGGACGAGCTGCGTCCCTGGGAGCTGGGCTTCCTTTGTTCTCTGGCCCATCGGTGACTGCTAGGGCAGGGCATTCTTACAAACAAAGCCCTTGTTACAAGGACAGCTTTGTCCGACTGCCACTAACTCTGCCCTCCCACACAGAAAGGGTCCGTCACAGGAGGTGAGCCCAGAGCCCACCCCCAGCTCGGCTGTCACGGAGCAGCACAAGGGCAGAGGGCTCTCACTCACAGTGCCTCAGGGGCCCGGGGAAGAACCTGCCAGGACGGGACCACGTCTGCCCCGCTCGCTCACTCACCACTTTGTCCTCTGTGCCTGGCACAGACCCTGGCACACAGCTGGTGCCTAATAAATGCTTGTGGAAAAGAACAGAGAAGGTGGGAGGGGAGGAGGAGGGGAGCAGACCGGAAAGAAGAGCAGGAGGGAGGAAATACAGACAGAGCAGCCAGTATCAGGTAATGCAAGGTCCTTCAGTTGAGGACTGGGTTTGAATTCTGCCTCTGGGCGTTTACCGTGACCTAGAAGTAAGTGGCTAGGACCTGAACCCAGCTCACTTTTCCCTCTTCATGCCTCATCTCCCACCTGTAAAGGGGACTGGTACCGGTGTGTCCCTCACAGGCTGACCAGGCGGAAGGGAGCTCCATGCCTCCAGTCCACAGCGCTCTCAGATTTGCTGAGAAGGGGCTGTGTTGTGCCTGTGAGCATGTGGCCGAAGCAGCAGCACTAAGGTTCATAGCTTTTCTGGCCCCCACTCCTATTCCTACCACGCCCATGGGTCATTCCCTCCCGGCCCCTGGCAGGGCCCCCACCTCCCTGGGGCTCAGGAAGAGCCTGGAGTCAGTGCCAGTCTGCCCAGAGCCGTGATGAATAAGTTGTTTATCCGCTCCCACCGCCCTCGGTGCCTGGCGGGCAGAGGCCTGCAAGGGGCAGCTGGGGGAGGGGCCTGCTTCCCCCCCACCCCCCGCAGCCCACTGCCCCTCCCTCCTCCCTTTCAGACCTGCTGGGTTCTAGAACCATCCACCCTACTCCCCAGTTCTGCATCAGTCTCCACCTTGAACTGCTTCCTGAGCTCTGAGCCCTCACCTTCCCCGAAGCCCCCAGATTTGGAAGCAGCAGGTTGGAGTGTCTAAAAACACAGGGTGTAAAGCCATACAGATCAGGGCTCGAGCCCTGGCTGTGGACATGATGCTAAGCCTCTCCCAGCCACAACTTCCTAGCTGATGATGTGCACTGACACTACCTACCTAATAGGGATTTCACCCTTGAGATACCTTGAGGGACCATCTAGCCCCCTCCTCTCCAAGCCTCCGGAACGTGCCTTTCCTGGTTAGACCCTCTTTTATGAACCTCTGATCCAACCTGAGAAACTGTAGCTTCCCTTCCTGCTTTCTTGAACAGACTTTGAGGTGTCTGGTCCAGTTAGGTTAGTCTGGAGCAGATTGTTACCCCATTTCACAGATGATAATGGCCATGAAATCTAGGCTGACTGCACAGTGAGGGGAATCCTGGCTTTTGCTACTTCTTCCTCCTGCATTAGGACCCATTAAGTGTCTGAGCTGGGTCTTACCAGTACTGGCTGGCTTTCCTCTCTTCTTTTCTCTCCCATCTTTCACCATAAATGCAGTGGATCCATAGTTGCTTGGGTCTTCCCTTTTAGAGAAAGGGCTACCATGTCCAAGGTCTGAGAAGCTGTGAGCACCCTCCCAACAGAATGAGGCAAGGTGCAGCCCAAGGAGAAGTTTAGAGCTATCCTTGGCATGGGAAGGGAACTTAAGATCATAGAGCGCCCCCTTGAGGCACCATGTCTTAAGTGAATATCCAGTCCCCTCTCGTAGGGCTCCAAGGCCTTGTACTCCACCCAGGGGACATCTGTAGCTCTTACAACTGGGAGAAGATGCTCCTGGCATCCAGTGGGTAGCTACAGCCAGGTTGTTACACATCCTGTGTTGCGCAAGACAGCCCCCCCCACCCCCCCATAACTAAGTTACTGAAGATGAGGAAACGTACTCTAGGAACAAGGAACAGCCTGCCCAGGTAATCAGGCCATTCTGTCTGCAGGAAATTACTCCCCAATCCTTACCCTGTCAATTATTCACCAAGCTCTGTTGGTTTTTTTATTTTATTTTATTTTTATTTTTATTTCTAGGAGAGAGAGACAGTGTGAGCAGGGGAGGGTCAGAGAGAGAGGGAGTCACAGACTCTGAAACAGGCTCCAGGCTCTGAGCTAGCTGTCAGCACAGAGCCCGACACGGGGCTCAAACCCACAAACAGTGAGATCATGACCTAAGCAAAAGTCAGACACTTAACCGACAAAGCCACCCAGGCGCCCCTCTGTTGGTTTTTAAAAATTATTTTTGAATGTTTATTTTTGGAGGAGAGACAGAGTGAGCAGGGGAGGAGCAGCGAGAAAGGAGGACAGAATCCTAAGTGCGTTCCAGGCTCCAAGCTGTCAGCGCAGAGCCTAATGTGGGGCTTGAACTCAGAAACCATGAGATCATGACCTGAGCCAAAGTCAGATGCTTAACCGACTGAGTCACCCAGGTGCCCCAGGCTCTATTGATTTTACTCCCAAGTTATTTCTCAAATCCTCTTGCACCCACCTCTAGACTTTAAAGTCTGTGTCATTACACAGTCACCTTCCTGCCTACCTTCCTGCTTCTAGTCAACCCACGCCACCCCCATCGGATCCGACAGTCCCCTTGTCCCTTAACCCAGAGCACAGATGTGCCACAGAGGTGTTGCTGCCCAGCAAGAGATGCTTTAAAAAAAAGTATGGGAGCATTTTTGCTTGTGACAATGATTTGGGGGTCCCACCGGCCTTCAGTGCATGGAGACCAGAGATGCTATACTGCCCGAACGCACAGAACTGCCCCATGCAACAGGAACTTTGAGATGTTCCAGACTTCCATGTGGGTGAGCAGCAAGCTATAGACTAGAGCCTGCCTCCAATGGTTATGAAACACAATTTTTTAAAAATTTTTCTAAAGCAAAGAATGTACCTGCTTTTATCTTCACAACATTGTCTCATATTTTTCAGAGTGTTCTGTTTTTTTTTAATCCTTTTCTATTTAAAAAAGATTTTTAATGTTTACTTTTTTTTTGAGACAGAAAGAGACAGAGCTTGAGTGGGGGAGGGATAAAGAGAGAGAGGGAGACACAAAATTCAAAGCAGGCTCCAGGCTCTGAGCTGTCAGCACAGAGCCCAACATGGGGCTCAAACCCACGGACCACAAGATCGTGACCTAAGCCGAAGTTGGCCGCCCAACTGACTGAGCCAGTTGTGCCCCCAGAGTGCTGTCTTAAAAGTGTGGTATATCATGGCAAGTGCTTGGACTTTTTCATAGCATTAAAATCACAAGTATGTTCACAAACTTAAGAATTGTGGTGTAATATGATTGACCCTTGAACAACTTGGGTTTGAACTGTGTAATGTGGATTTTTTTTTCAATAAATAATGCAGCACTGTCCATGTATTTTCTCTTCCTTATGATTTCTTAGTATTTTATTTTATTTACCTGAATTTATTATAAGAATATAGTCTATAATACAGATAAGATACAAAATATGTGTTAATGGTAAGATTTTTTTTATGTTATTGGTAAGATTTCCGCTCAACAGTAGGGTATTTGTAGTTAAATTTTGGGAGAGTCAAAAACTGCACGTGGATTTTCGGCTGTACCAGGGTCTCAGTGCTCCAACTTCCACATTGTTCATGACGCTGGTGCTATTCCTCTACAATTCACTTTGGATTCTGAGGTTTTGGACTAAAATGGCTACTAAGTTTCTTCTCTTAAATTCAAACTTACTCAGCCTAGTGAGTGCAAGTATCTGATTGCCCCTCAGGGTCTCCTGTGGAGTCAGCATATCAGAGTATATGTTGATGCATTCATCAGTTTATCATAAATGGCTTTCCTTTTATTTCTCTTGCACTTAAAGCATTGTATAGACTTTTTAAAAGGTGATATGCAGGGGTGCCTGGGTGGCTCAGTTGGTTAAGCATCTGACTTTGGCTCAGGTCATGATCTCGCAGTTTGTGAGTTTGAGCCCCACGTCAGGCTCCGTGCTGACAGCTGCCTGGAGCCTGTTTCAGATTCTGGTCTTCCTCTCTATCTGCCCCTACCCTGCTTGTGCTCTGTGTCTATGTCTGTGTCTCAAAAATAAACATTTTAAAAAATTTAAAAAGTGATGTGCAGAAGATAGGGAGTATTTACTAATAATTTCGTTTCAGTCTTCAGTAGGAGTGGCATTACAAAATATAGGGGCATCTGGCTGGCTCAGTCAGTAGAGCTTGCAACTCTTAATCTTGGGGTTATAAGTTCAAGCCCCATGTTGGGTGTAAAGATTACTTAAAGATAAAATCTTTATGGGGCGCCTGGGTGGCTCAGTGGGTTATTCATCTGACTCTTGGTTTTGGCTCAGGTCACGATCTCTGGGTTTGTGAGTTTGAGCCCTGCATTGGGTTCTATACGGACTGTGTGGAACCTGCTTTGATTCTCTCTTCCTCACTCTCTGCTCCTCCCGTGCTCCTGCTCTTGCTCTCTCTTAAAATAAACTGAAATCTTTATAAAAATATTTGCTATAAAAATAGGAGTGATGTCTGAGAAGTTGCAAATCACTGACCCTATAAAAATCCTTTAATGACATCAAAGCATCACCTTCATATCTGATTGGCCTCACTGTCCATCTCCCTCTTCCTAATCTTACCTGATGCTCAGGCAAGAATCTGGCGATTCCTTAAACATGACATGCTTACTCACACCTTAGCGTGTAGATGCTGTTGTCTTGCTTAGAATGCTCCCCCATCTCTGCTCATACAGATAGGACCACTGACTCATTCTTCAAATTTCAGCTTACATGCTCCTGTCTGGATCCCTCCAGTGACAATGAAGTGGTTCTTACCTCACTCACTGCATCTTGTAGAAAATAATAGTGATAATAAGAGTAGCCAGAATTTTTTTTTTTTACAAATAGTTTATTGTCAAATTGGTTTTCATATAACACCCAGTGTTCATCCCCACAAGTGCCCTCCTCCATGCCCATCTCCCCCCCACCCCCATCAGTCCTCAGTTTTTGTCAGCATTCAAGAGTCTCTCATGGTTTGCCTCTCTCCCTTTCCCCCACCATTTCCCCCCTTCTTCTCCCCCATGGTCCTCCGTTAAGTTCCTCCTAATCCTCCTATACGTGCAAACATATGATATTTGTCCTTCTCTGCCTGACTTATTTCGCTCAGCATAACACCCTCAAGGTCCATCCATGTTGAGTAGCCAGAATTTATTAAGCATAGCTGTGCAAATGCTGCATCCAGCCCTTCACAGGTATGAGCTCAGCAATCTGTGCATTTCCCTCTTATTGCCCAGTTAGGGAATTTGTCCCCATTCTCAGGACTCTTGAGTGGTGGGGCCAGTTGTGCAGCTCCTAAGCCTGAATCCTTAACATATCTGTCTTTGAGCACCATATGAAACATCTCTGTATTGTTATCTGATGAGTGAATTTTTCCATTATTGGGTGGCACCTCATGGGTAGCAGAGACTGAGTCTTTTCGTTCCCAGACTGCCAGAGTGGAGTCATGTTAACACGGGAATATGCCCAAATCACTTATGATTAAAAATCATCCTTAGGAATTTTATTAGTTTTCGGTTGTTGCTGCAAAAAATCACCCGAAACGTAGTGGCTTGAAATGATGCAGGGTTACTCTCTTATAGTCCTGAAAGTCACAAGTTCAAAATGGGTCTCAGTGGGCTAAAGTTAACGTGACATCAGGGCTGAATTCTTTTGGATACTCTAGGGCAGAATGTATTCCATTTTGTTTCTAGCTTCTAGAAGCTGCCTGCTTTCCTTGGTTTGTGGGCCCTTTTCCTCCATCTTCAAAGCCAGCAACATTGGCCGAAATCCTTCTGATGCTGATTCTCTTTCCTGATTCTCTCTTCACTTTTAAGGAACCCTGTGGTTGCAGTTATTTCACTCAGACAATTCAGGGAAAATCTCCCTATTTTAAGGAGAGCTGACTGGCAACCTTAATTCCATTTGTAAAACTAATTATCCTTTGGCCGTGTAACTTAACATATTCACAGGTTCTGAGGATTAGAAGGTACACATCTGGAAGGGGAGCATTCTGCTCACTGTAGAACCCATTAAATTGAAAAACAGCTTAGGACACTGGTTCAGGGCATGGATTTTGAAGCGAGATTGTTTGCCTTCAAATCCCAGCTCTGCCACTTGAGCCATATTAACCTTAGGCAAGTTACTTCTCTGTGTCTCAGTTTTGCCATCTGTAAAATGGGGGTGATCATTATAGTGCCCACTTTGCAGGTTTGTAAACACTTAAAATGATGTAGGAGGTGCTATATATATTATAAAATATGTGCATCTTACAGGCATGTCTGACATTGGAACAAGACTACTGCCTCGCTGACCCTCAGACAAAATTGTTGGCTTGACTCTTGCCCCTCTCTGAGGTTCCTCAGAATTGGGGAATAGCTCCAGTGTCTTGTTTTACTCTCACTCTTGGACATGGGCTTCTGAATCGGGGTGCTGTGGTGAAACCATCTGTACTGTTCATGCTGTTTGTTCTTAATACGTTGCCAAGTGAGTGGCTGAATTGCTAAAAATTAGCTGTTGATTTGATGTGACTTCATTTCATTTGCTGAATGAATGAGTGGACAGATAGATGGACAGATGGGTGGGTGGATCTGCCTTCCCTGGAGATCTGTCCCCACCACACATCTCTGCACAGGTGTCCTTTTGCTTGGGTGCTCCAAGGAGGCAGCCACACAGAGGGTGAGAAAGTGTGGTGCTGACCTCTAAGGTGCTTTTGTACTTCCCACAGGATTGAGAGTGTGCTCAGCACCATGGAGAGTACCCCCGGCAGCCCTCAGCCCACCGAATCAGATCCCCTGGAGGCTTTTCCCCAGAGGAGCCTGGAGCCAGGTGACATTGCCGTGCTGGTTCTGTACTTCCTCTTCGTCCTGGCTGTTGGACTTTGGGTAAGCCAGACCAGGGGAGGCAGGGGAAGAAACTCGCCCGAGGTCATAAAATACTTGGAACTTGAAACTTGTAAAACTGCGTTAAGTTGACCATGGGTCAGGTGCTATCTTAGGCACTTTCATTTATGCTATGTCATGTAATTTGCATAGATGTCTTATGAGGAAGGCACTACTACTGTACCCATTTTCTAGATAAGGAAACTGAGGCTCAAAAATGGAAGCCTGTTATATGTTAGTAAGTTAGCACAGCTGGAGTTAGAATCCATATCTCCTTCACTTTTTTTTTTTTTTTTAAATGTTTTATTTATTTCTAGGAGAGAGAGAGAGAGAGACAGCGTGAGCAGGGGAGGGTCAGAGAGAGAAGGAGTCATAGACTCTGAAACAGGCTCCAGGCTCTGAGCTAGCAGTCAGCACAGAGCCCGACGCGGGGCTCGAACCCACGAACCGTGAGATCATGACCTAAGCGAAAGTCGGACGCTTAACTGACTAAGCCACCCAGGCGCCCCATATCTCCTTCACTTTGAAGGCCATGTTCTTTTTTCTGTTTTCTTTTTTAAAGGGAGCTTTAAAAAAATTTCAGTGTTTACTTTTGAGACAGAGTGAGAGAGAGACACACACAGAACTTGAAGTGGGCCTCAGGCTCTATGCTGTCAGCACAGAGCCTGGCAAGGGGCATGAACCCACGAACTGTTGAGATCATGACCTGAGCCAAAGTCAGATGCTTAGCTGACTGAGCCACCCAGGTTGTTTTTTTTTTTTTTTTTTAAAGGCAATAGGGTCACATGGTTCAAAAACAAAAACTACTTAGGGGGCATCTGCGTGGCTCAGTCGGTTGAATGTCCAACTTTTGATCTTGGCTCAGGGGTCATGATCTCATGGTGTGTGAGCTATAGCCCTGAGTCAGGTTCTGCACTGATAGCCCAGAGGCTGCTTGGTATTCTCTCCCTTTCTCTCTGCCCTTCTCTTTCCCTCTCTCTCAGATAAACATTGAAAAAAGACATACTGTGAAAAGTCTCACTACTACCCTTCCCTCCTCAGGTGACCTCTGTTGTAACCTTGTTTGTACATTAGTTTGAGTTTTCCTTATGGAAATCCAAGCAAATATTATCACGTATATTTACCTCTTTCTTAAATAGGAAGTAGCTTATTATTATACTACTGTTTTCTTACCTTGCTATTTTTCACTTATCAGGGTCTCTTGGATATCTTTTCATATTCATATCAGTGCATAGACGCTTCCTGGTCTTCCTAAAAGTTACATAGGATTGAGGCACTTGGGTCGCTCGGTTGGTTGAGTGTAAAACTTTGGTTCAGGTCATGATCTCACGGACCGTGAGTTCGAGCCCTGTGTTGGGCTCTGTGCTGACAGCACACAGCCAGCTTGGGATTCTCTCTGTCCCTCTGCCCTTCTCCCTCACTCATGCATGTGCTCTCTGTCTCAAAAAACTGCATTTATCTTGTAATAAATGGGTCTGGACACTCTTACATAATTTAAAGACCATCTAATTCCTTTCTGTGAAGCACGGCTTTATATCTTTTTCCCATATTCATTAGGTTCCTATTCTTTTACTTATCAATTTCTAGGAACCATTTATTTATTTATTTATTTTTATTTAAGTAACTTCTACACTCAGCATGGGGCTCAAACTCATGGCCCTAAGATCAAGAGTGGCATGCTCTTGTAACTGATCCCGCCAGGTGCTCCTTAGGAACTCCTTACATTGTAAGGAGATTAGTAACTTTGGGATAAGGATGGTGAAGAGGAAACACCTGCTATCTGGTTTTTAGGCCATTTGGTACAAAGGACTTGAAAACTGAAACCCAAGGTGTCCCCACTTTGATCCAAGTATTTATAGATCATTTTTCTGCCCTTACCCCTTGGCTTTTCCTACTTCAGGTCAAGAAGGGGATAAAAAGTGCTGGACGTCCCAAAGACCTTTCTCTGCACTCACGCACACGTGCACACGCGCGCGCGCGCACACACACACACACATCGCCTCTACTCTTAGCAGGACATAGTGAGATGGAGGAGGCATTGTTAAGAGTAAGAATTTCATGTCAGACAGCTTTGGGGTCAGGGTTAGGTTAGGATGAGGCTGGAGTCACTGGGAATCCGTAGGTTCACAAGAGGACCAGGAGACTCTCATATATTACTAGTTTGGGAACCCTGGATTTAGATAATCCCTTTCAAGGAGTTTTTCATTTAAAAAAATTATTTTTTAAGTTCATTTTTTTATTTTGAGAGAGACAGAGAATCCCAAGCAGGATCCACACTATCAACACAGAGCCCAGTGTGGGGCTCGAACTCATGAACCATGAGATCATGACCTGAGCTGTAGTCAGACACTTAACTTACTGAGCCACCCAGGCGCCCCAGGAGTTCTTTATTTTAAAAAAAAAATACTTCCTGTGTCAGGAATGAGCTGGAATGAGCCTCAGATTCTGTTTTCTATAGCAAAATCATTTGCAGGGATGAAAAGGTACCATTTCCTGTCATCTCCTATCCAGAAAAAATCCCCTCAACAGTATTCACACCTGGGCTCAGAGAGGTTCAACAACTTACCAAGATCACACAAGCTACTTAGTAGCGAAAATGTTTCTATTCGAACACTTTCGATGCCTGGAAGCTGACCCCTAAAGATGGTTTTGAAAACCAGCCTAAGGACATGGGCTCCCGAGGCTGACGTGTATCTGAATTCCTGGCACTTCTGCTGTTGGGAAATACAGCACTAGAGTGACTTTTGACTTCTGAGCCTTGTTTTCTTCATGTGTTAGATTGGCTTAATGATACTTCCTAGGTGTGTGTGAGGATTAACCTGGGATAAAGCTCCAAGATGCTTGGTGGTGTCTGACGGCTGTGCTACTATGAAACTATATAACACTAACACCCAATAAATAGCGCCCATTATGAGCTATCCTAGATAAGGCGTGGGTTGAAAACTCAAACATGTAGGGGAGCCTTAAGTATGTGAAGCGGGGAGTGGTAGGGGTTGTATTGACCTGAAGAATTTATGTCTCCTCTAAAGCATTCAAATTAAAATCTTCTTTTTTTTTTTAAAGTTTTTTTTCTTAATGTTTTATTTATTTCTAGGAGAGAGAGAGAGAGACAGCGTGAGCAGGAGAGGGTCAGAGAGAGAGGGAGTCACAGACTGAAACAGGCTCCAGGCTCTGAGCTGACAGTCAGCACAGAGCCCAACGCGGGGCCCGAACCCACGAACCGCGAGATCATGACCTAAGCGAAAGTCGGACGCTTAACCGACTAAGCCACCCAGGCGCCCCTCAAATTAAAATCTTCTTAAAAACCATGGGTCAAAAGCACCCTATATTTGCTGTCTAAATCTTGCAGGCTAGACTCCCAGTTGGTAATCCAAGGCTTTGGCACTTTGGGATGCCTCTGACTGTCACCCACCCCTCTTCTTTGTTTCAGTCCACAGTGAAGACCAAAAGAGACACTGTGAAAGGCTACTTCCTAGCCGGAGGGGACATGGTGTGGTGGCCAGTAAGTGGTCTTTGGTTCAATTAAAGTCGCTTCTTCACATGCTGATGGTCTGTCTAGCCTTTGGTCTCTCAGGGCTTGGCTTGCACATTGTGTGAGGGCACAGTCTAGAGAAGGCTTAGCTCCAACTCAAATTTGAATTCATCACTTAGGCTGGTTTCTGGTATGGTTGAGTGCAAGGGTTCAAGTGATATCATTAGGACCTGATTTCCATCCTTCCCTCTCTCCCTCTCTCCCTCCCTTCCACCCTTCCTTCCTTCCTTCCTTCCTTCCTTCCTTCCTTCCTTCCTTCCTTCCTTCCTTCCTTCCCTCCCTCTCTCCCTCCCTCCCTTCCTTCCTTCCTTCCCTCCATATCAATCTCTCTTTTTCAGGATGATCACTATTCCCAACAAAATGGCTCCAGACTTCTCATCCTCTCAGGTTCCAGTGCACTATGGGAAGAGCATGGAAAATATCTCATCTCTAATTGTGTCCCATGCCCATCTCTGTGCCAGTCACTGTGACTAGAGTCATTTGATGTGCCAATTGGCTCAAGCTTAGGTCACACACTCAGTGCCTGAGCTCGGGGGTGGGGTGGTGGAGCTTGGAACCTCTCCTCAAGCATATGCGATGAGAAATGAAAAGGAGCTAGAAACCATTACTGGGACAAGGTAATATGGATGTTGAAAACACAAATAACAAAACAGTCCAGTTGATGTTTTCTTTTTGAGTGGACATCAGGGCATTGCCAAATACAACACACACACGTGTGCGCAGGCACACACATACACAGGTGTCCACTTCATGGGCCCACGTACTTCCTGGGTGGTCAAGAATAATAATTTACTTATAATCTCCTGAAATAAGGGTGAAATCTTTGTACTAAGAAGAGGAAGCACAGCTTCCATTTGCAGTGAGTCCAAAAGATGTAGGCTTTAAGGTGCAGAGAGACAACTGGTGTCTGAGACCCTGGTCAGGGAAATATCTGAAGACAATGACCATACTGTTCTCAGACCAAAAACATGCTCTGGGTTATATATTCAACAAACTCACTAAAAAATACATTCACTGAAGAATGTGTCTGGCACTGTATTCAACACAGGGTATGTCCATAAGCTGGTCTTCACCCTCAAGGAGCTTATAATTTAGTGTTGACCAAAGTGTAACAGCTGCTCTAAGTTTTTGCAGCTGCACACTGACACAGCCTTAAGTAACTTCAAATCGCATAGTGTGAACATCATTCCCTTTCCTGTTCTCTGTCAGTCCTCCTGACTGCATGAAAGGAAAGGTCACAGTGTGGTGCTAATACACTTTTATCAGTCTTCCATCACTGACCAATCTCTATGTTTAACCAAGAGAAGATAGGCCTCGGTGAGAGAAACTAACTAGGATTTAGTATCACAGATGGTGTCCCCACTCCAGATGCCCAGGAGAGAAAATGTAATTTACCTAGATTGGGCCACGTAACTGGGGCTGTCTGGTTCAATCAGCTGAGACTAGGGACTGGGGTCATTGAGTATAGGCTTGGCCACCTAGTGTTCTACCACCTCGCGAACTATCTGTCTACTTCGCCAAGTTAGAAAGAAGCAGAACTGGGATATATGACAAAAGCTTCCTGATTCTCATCATGAAGCACCTTCCACAATGCCTATCATCCTTTCCCCCAGGGACGATGCATACAGTTGTTCACCTTGTGCACTGCCCATCCCCATGGGACACGATTCACACTTTAGGCATCATAAGGATGCATATTTACTGTGCCAATTTCTGATAGCTGGAAGTAAGAGTGTTTTGGAGAAGTCTTTCTAATTTGAAAACAAAGACGCCAGATTGGCTAGGGATGGCCCCACCTTCTCTATTTCTCCTCCTGTCTTGGTCCCTCTGGACCATGGGAAGAACTGGGGGTGGGGAGAAGACAACATAGACCTTGGCTCCAAGATCTGACTTGTCCATCTCTGTGCAGGTGGGTGCGTCCTTGTTTGCCAGCAATGTTGGAAGTGGGCATTTTGTAGGCCTGGCAGGGTCAGGCGCTGCTGCAGGCCTTTCTGTGACTGCTTATGAGTTGAATGTAAGTATTTGGTTTACCAGGGAGTCTACAGCTCACCCTTTGCCCAGTAGGTGATCCTGGGGGGCAGTGTGAATGCCCCGTATTTCGTGAGAAAACAAGCAGGAAGCATCAAGGGTACTCCTTGTCAGCTAAAACTCGTTTCACCTGTAAGCTCCTGGCTTGCGTGGGTTTGCTTGATGCTGGCTGGTAAGGTCAAGACCCTAATAAGCCAACATGTGGGAGAAGAGGGCTCAGAATCCCTTCCTTGTGGATGCAGGAGATAGAAGGTGTCCCAGGACCAGAGGCCTTTTCTGTGTATTAGATAGCAATTGGCCATCACAAAAACATGGTTCTGTGGCTCAGTGCTTCTTGACCTTTTTGCCCACAGATACCCAAGAGCTAGGACACACTGTCCTGTCTAGCAGGGTCCGGGAAGGATATGATTTTCACTGCAGGGGAGGACATGCATTATTAATAGCGATTTTCATCTTCATAGTGACTAACTTTTTCTTTAAGACAAACTTTATGTTTATAAGTAAGCTCTGTGCCCAACATGGGACTTGAACTTACAACTCCTAGATCAAGAGTCACGCTCCATTGGCCAAGCCAGCCACGTGCTCCCATAGTGACTAAGATTTGTATGTTTTTATTTTAAGTTTATTTATTTTGAGAGAGAAAGAGAGAGAGGCAGAGAAAGAGAGATAGAATTTCAAGCAGGTTATGCGCTATCAGCCTGAGGCCTGATGTAGGTCTTGAACTCATGAACCCTGAGATCATGACCTGAGCCAAAGTCAAGAGTTGGATGCTTAACCCACTGAGCTGCCCAGGTGCCCTGTAACTAACAATGCTCCTTCTACACTGCAGACTACACTGCATGCATTACCATGTGGTGAGATTCACTTACAAAGCCCATCCTGGCCCAACAAGGGAGGGGATACATCTGGATGAAGAGGGAGGACATGAGGTTTAGGGCAACACTGAGAAGTCACTGAAAATCTTCTATTTCCACCCTTCCCTCCTTCATGCCCTCTGCCATTTAAACATGGAAATATGATGGCCCTGGGAGGATGAGGTACCGTAAGTAGGGGACTGAGCCCGATGTGGAGCCAGGCCGGGTCACCCCTAGGCACAGAGGGGAACCCAAATCAGCACCTCGAGGTGGGCGGGAGCTGAGTCCTGACTCTGTTTTCCCGGGCAGGGCTTGTTTTCCGTGCTGATGTTGGCCTGGATCTTCCTGCCCATCTATATCGCTGGTCAGGTGAGTGTGAGGGAGTCTGGTACTGTGGGTAGGGGAAACCCTTTGGGAGGGTCACCCCTGCTTTCCCTCCTTCCCACCTGATGACCTCCCTTAGACAGTCCCCGAGAGGTCGGTCCCACATGGTGAGGGACCCCTCACAAGTGAGAGCAGGGAGCCCCGGCCTTGACAGCTCCCACCTGGTGACCGATGATGAAGATGCACACGTGCTGGAAGGGACATGCGCGCTTAGAAACATTTGTTTTCAATGCGAAGACACCGATGTGAGTCTCATAGTGTCTTTGATGTGTGTAAGCCATAGTGTGTTACTGCTTTACTTCCTTTGCACACAGACCTGTAAAAGCTGCGTTAGTTTGGCAGATTGAAGGGTCAACATTTTTGTTCCCAAATAACGCTGCTTTACACTTAAAAAGCATATATATATATATATATATATATATATATATATATATATATATTTAAGTTTCTTGAGAGAGAGAGAGCGTGGTCCACGGAGGGGCAGAGAGAGGGAGAGAGAGAATCCGAAGCAGGCTTCATGCTGTCAGTGCAGAGCCCAATACGGAGCTCAAACTCCCCAACCGTGTTTGTCCCCACTCACCCCATGTGTTTGTCCATTCTTTGGTTCGTGGGCATTTAGGTTGTTCCCAGTGTGAGGCTGTGATGGAGAATGCCCCTGTGAACATTTTATGCAAATGTCCTGAGGCACATAAACAGGTGTTTATGGAGAGTGTCTACCTATGAGTAGAATATCTGGTCTATTGGGTATGTTTAACTGGTTTTGCTAGATACTCCCCATATTTACCCCAGAATATTTCTATCAGCTTATAGTCCCACCAGCAGTGGATGCAAATTCCCTGGACTCCATAACTTCACATCCTTGCCAACACTTGGTATTTTCCAACTTTAAAATTCTTGCTAAACTGGTGGGTGTATGGTTGTATCTCACTATGCTTTCAATTCTATTTTTATATTTTTTGACCAGTTGGATATCCTCTTTGGAGAAGTCACTAGTCTAGGACTTTAGCCACCCCCCCTTTTTTTTTTAAATTAGGTTATAGAGCTTCTTATTAATTGTTAGAAGTTCTTTATGTATTCTGAAAATAAGCCCTTAGGGTGGTTTTATGTGTTGCAAACATGTATATATTTTTCTACTCTGGTTTGCCTTTTCACTCTCTTAATGATGTTTTTGATAAGCAGTTCTCAACTGTAATGTAGTCATATTTATCACTTTTACCTGCCTTTCATGTCCTGTTTAAAAAATCTTTTCCTACTCCAATCTTAAAGATATTTTCCTATATTGTCTTTTAGAACTTTTCACATTTAAGACCATTATGCACGTAGAACTGATTTTTGTTCACTGCAGTTTGAGAATGGGATAAGGCCGACGCCACCCATCAGGAAACTCACAGACCAGTTGCATGTAGGATCCATTCCCTCATTCATTCATTCAGTCATTCATTGGAGAAGCACTTACTGAGCCAGATGTCAGCTGTGTGCCAGTTCCCGACGGTTCCCCATCCTTGTGAGGTGATTTCTCTAGAACATTACAGTGCTTTCCCCTCTTGCTGGAAAGTTTTTCTTTTCATTTACAGGGAGATTACCTCCTGTTCATCTTTCAAATCCTGCTTTACACAACAGTTCCTCCAAGAAACCCTTCTGATCTGCCTGATGAGGTTGAATTTCCTCCATCATACTGGCCTTTGCTTTGCATTAGCTCCTGTGGTCATTAAACTCATGTGTCTCCCATTAGACCATGTGCCTCTCCCATTAAGCCAGGGCTTCCCAGTCTCAGCACTGGTGACATTTTGGGCTGGATAATTTTTTTTTGGTGTGTGTGTGTTTGTGTGCGCCTATGTTGAGGTAGGGGGTACTCTGCATTGTAGGGTGTTTGCAGCATGCCTAGTCTCTACCCAGTAGATGCTGGTAGCACCCCCACTCCAAATTGTGACAGCCAGAACATCTCCATATGTTGCCGAATGTTCCCTGGGTAGCTACAAAGTTGTCTTCGGTTGAGATCCACTTCCCTAGATGTGTGTGTCTACCATTAGATCGTAAGCTCTAAGAGAGTAGGAACCGTTTCTGTTCTCTCCTATAGTTGTGCCTGGTACACAGGAGATGTGCAATTAAATATTTGCTGAAATAACTCAGCAGCAGGGCCTTCCATGGATTCAGAAGGAAGCAAAATGAGGAATGAGCCAATGCTCAAAAGAAGAGGCACCCAGTTAGGGACCAGAAGTCTTGGCCAGGTCCCAAAGCATTGCCGGAGTTAGCACACGAGAGAGCTATGATGACCATGTGGGGCACCGGAGGTCAAGGGGGTCCCAGGGCTGACGAGGCCCAGGTGTGCGTCAGGGAAGTGCAGTTCTGGAGCAGAAATGTCCCATTCTTGCTAGGGCTGAGCAAACAGATACCGTGCAAGGTGTCCCATGTGGGTTCTCTGCACTGTCCCTGTGGCTGCTTCCACCCTGGGGAAGGGTCTCCAAGAAAGGGAAGACAGTAAAGGAGCTGAAATCCCCTTGAGTGCTGGGCAGGGCTCTGGGGAAGGCTGGAGGTAGGGGTGGGGGTTTCGGAGGAGGAGGGAGGGGTTTTACGGGAGGATGAGAATGGCAGCCTGGATGGGATGGGGTTGGGGAGACAGTATGCAGGTCCCGCAAGCCCCTTGCTGCCCTCTGCCCCAGGAAATGAGGGGCCTGTGAGGGAGGGGCCCCACAAGCAGCAAGGATGAACTAGGGTGCTCGTCCCCCCTCCCAGGGCAGCAGCCATTTTTTTTTTTTAGGCTCCACGTCCATTGTGGGGCTCGAACCCATGACCCTGAGATCAAGAGTTGCATACTCTATACCAACTGAACCAGACAGGCACCCTTGCATTTATTTACTTCTTTTTAACATTCACCCAGCTACAACCATAGGGTATTTCCTGTGCTGCCCGTGGGCCATCCCTCACTTCTTCTCTGTCTGTCTCTCTCAGCTTGCTTGCTGGCAAATGCCTATTTAGCTCCTTGACTGCCTGACAGTTGTCATCACAGCCAGTGAGTCAGCTTGAGAAGCCTGTTCCTCAGGCCACTCACCTGAATGGACTGGGGCTCTTCCGTGTCCCCTCGAGTCAGCTCTCACACTGTCACCATGGGCACGTCTATTCATTACTGGTTGAATGTCCCCATGCGTTAATCCTTGATAGAGTGTCAGTGCACATGCTTCTGGGAAATCCCTGTTGGTGTGTGCCTTGCCTCAAAATCAGAGGGATGGGGCAAGACATTCATGAGAATCAGAGTTCTAGATTGCTTTCTGGGGGGCGAGGGAAGGTTTTTGCTTCTTTTCTATTAGAAAATGTCCATTTATTCCTGGAGGTTTTTTTTTGTTTGTTTGGCCAATATTTTATTATGAAAAGGATTTCAAGCATACATTGAAGTTGAAATAACTTTGCACCGTACACCCTTGTGTTCTTGAATACCCAGATTACCATTAACCATTTACAATTCTTTTATTTATTTATTTAAATTTTTTAATGTCTTTATTTTTGAGAAAAAGAGAGAGATATACAGAGCATGAGTAGGGGAGGGACAGAGGGAGAGAGGGAGACACAGAATCTGAAACAGGCTCCAGGCTCTGAGCTAGCTGTCAGCACAGAGCCCGACACGGGGCTCAAACCCACGAACCGTGAGATCATGACCTGAGCTGAAGTTGGATACTTAACCAGCTGAGCCACCGAGGCGCTCCCTGACCAAAGGTTTAGAATAGAGCAGTTCCCCAAAGTTTGGAACAGGGGCAAATGGAGATTCTTGAGATGCTTTTAGGTGTTAAACATGAGACCCACTACGCCGAGTCACGTAGTGCAGTTATTTCCTTTTCTGTTGTCTTTCACTTGTTTGATGACCTCAAGGGAAAAGTGTTATGTTGGTCGTAGCGTGTCTTTAAGACTAATCCAACACTTCTCCAGCATTCTTTTCCTTTTTCTTAAATGAATGAGTAGGCTCAGGGTCCAGAGTCCTTGGTGTTGCCAGAAAGAAAGAAAATAATGAATTGTTTTATTATCCGGTGTTTATTTTTGCTGGTTCCCTTAAATTTAGGATTGATTTTTCATTTACAGTGGTGATTTGAAGTTTCCTTTTTAGATAAATGTATTTACCTGTTTACATGAGTTGGTTTAAAGGAATACATTAAGTAACATAAGAGATAGCAAACATTGGGATGGGCTTGGTAGTTGGGTACATCTCCCTGCACAGAACCCCAGTTCCTCTACACCCCACTCCTCTGCCCCCATTTTCTCCTCCCTTTTTAAGCCTATCATCAAGAAGACCTTCGGTGCTTTTGAGTTTGGGGAGGGGGGAAGGGCCAGTGCCCTGAGGCCATGTGTCCAAAGTCAGGTGGGTGGTGACAGCTCAGCTCTGGCCTCTAGGTCACCACGATGCCAGAATACCTAAGGAAACGCTTTGGTGGCAACAGGATCCCCATCATCTTGGCTGTGCTCTACCTGTTCATCTACATCTTCACCAAGATCTCGGTAAGGTGGGGACATAGCCCAGCCATGTCCTTGCAGCATAGTGAGAGGATCAACTATGCCATCAACAGCCATATCAAATACAGCTATTGCTTGGGAGTGTGTCCTCCTCGTGCACTTCCTTGTACTGTTGGGCAGGCTTCAGGGAGGTCAACAGAGGGAGGGAGGGGTGGGGGGAGAGGGTAAGCATGGGCAGAAAGTTGGGAGAAGGTCTGCCAAAGGTTCTCTGGCAACATCACTAGATGGTGCAGGTCACCCCTGGGTGGGACTGTCATCTTCCTGTGATTAGACAGTGATCAGCTGTTAATTGGATGTGCTGAGGCCCATTGAGCCTGCTCCACCTTGACGTTTGGTTGGATGGGCAGATCTCTAGAAAGAGGCCAAGAGCTGATGCTGTCCCTGCTTCCAGCTGGGGCTGGGGAGAGCCCCAGGGGCTGAGGAGGGTGCAGGGGGTGCAGAGGAATCCCATTCAATCCAAACAACAGTAATTGAGGCTATGCCAGCTGCAGGCTTGAGAGATGTTGGATGACAGCATCCAATTCTGCGTATGGGTCTGTGGAAAGCTACATATGTGAGGAAGCCGTCACAAGGGAAGTTACGACCAAGAAGAATTACCAAATAGAGAAAGGGGGACTGGCGTTCTAGATGGATGGACTAGAGCAAGCAAAATATTGGATGCCTGGATGGACATGGAGCAAGTGAAGGAAATGAGGCCAAGGGGCAAGCATGCCATTCTAACCTATTTATGTAGATATTATCTTGGGGACAATAGGGAGGCCATAGAAGAATTTTAATGGGCAGAGGAAGGATGATCAGCCCATGACGGTATTTGATGAAGGTTGCAATGTGGAGGATGGAGGCTAGGAAGACCAAGAGTAGCAGCAGGAAGACCGTTGAGGAGGTTGTTGTATTAGCCCAGGGAATGGGTCTCAAATGTACTTGCCCAAGTGTTCCAGTTTGAGACCTCTGATATGGGAAGAAATAGCTGAAGAGAGGGCAGTGTAGGACTCTTCTGTGTTTGCCACAGTCCAGTCCTAGGAGAACTTGTACTGAAAATGTCCATCCATTCATTCATCCATGAACTTTATGTCTCTACAGGTGGACATGTATGCAGGCGCCATTTTTATTCAGCAGTCTCTGCACCTGGATCTCTACCTGGCCATAGTTGGGCTGTTGGCCATCACGGCTCTGTACACGGTTGCAGGTATGTCTGAACAAGGGGGTGCATAAGAGGCTGTGGGCCACCACCACCCACATCTTTTCCTGGTCCATCTTCTGATGTTCCAGTATGTTAAAACCATTCATTCATTACACCTCAATCAATGACCCCAGATAATATGGTGTCTCTTGGCCCTTGTCCAAGGGAAGAGGGCTTCCCAGTTAGAGGGAGGATTTATAAATGCACCATAACTGCATCCAGCTATTTTTCATTTATTTATTGAATAATTATTTATTTAAAACTGACTGAGGTGCATGTTTATATGCATGCACTCTGCAGAGTGAGGATGTAAGCAGCTGCAGTTTTGGAGACTGAAGTCAGACAGCCTTACCTTTTCTCATCAGAGAGGCACTCTAGAGGAGTGGTTGGCATATAGTAGGGCCTGGACAAGTATCTGTTTTTGAAAATTCATCTTTTAATCTTCATCTTCTGCTCAAGCTCACCCTCCTCTGCCTCCTCTTGGCATGATATAACTCATTCCGTGAATATATCTGTATATCACCTAGTGTGTGCTAGACACCGTTTAAGGAAATAGGGTACAGCAGTAGACAAAACAGGCAAAATCTTTACCTCAAAGGAACTTATATTCTAATGGGGATGGGGAGACAGACAATGAACAAGGAAACCAATAAATTATATCAGGATGTATTATTATAATCTGATAAGTGCTCTGAAGGAAGTTCATGTAGGGTGCAATGGGGAGTGATGGGTAAGGAGAGTTCTTTTGTTTTTTCTTTTTCTTTTTTTTTACATAGAATATAAAATACATAGAAGACCTTTCTAAGATGACATTTGAACCACATTTAAGTGGTATGAAGGAAACATTAAAGAGAAAGACAGAGGAAGAGAAGCCCAGGCTGGGGAAAGGGCACATGTAAAGACTCATCCTTTGTTTGGGGAACAGAAAGGTGCTCAATGTGTCTGACACTCAATGAGCAGATGGCTCAAGCTGCGTCCAGCTGACCTCCAGGGGGCCACTCCCACATGCCAGAGAGGAATGCCATCTCCACCCCCACCCCCACCCCCCGCTCTGGCACTGTGTGGCACAGCAGCCTGGGTGATGGGGAAAAGGCCAGCACCCAGCGCCTTGAAGGAAATAAAAGATGAAATTAGCCTGGATTTTGTTCTGAGGGCTGTGGAACACCACTGGAGGCTCCAAGCTCAAAAGCAGGCAAATCAAATATATGCAAAGGCCCCGAAGGAGATCTTCAGCGTGTTAAGCACTAACCAAAGCCATGTGCCTGGAGCCCAGGGAAAGGGAAGGGCTAGTCACAAAGCCCTCTCTGTATTTCCTTGTTTGAGGCTCCATTAGACTGTAATCTCTATGAGGACAGGGAACATGCTTTTTGGTCTGCTTCTCTATCCCTACCATGTAGAGCTAGATAATCAGTATAGAAATGATGGTGGGTTTTAGTGGCACCTGGCTTCCGGATCATTGCACTCAGCCTGGCTAACGACAGCAAAGTGTTGGGGCCAGAATCTAGACTGAGTCTCTCCTCATTTGTGACAGGGCCCTATTCCTGCTGGCCAGGAAGGAGGAGGCATGGTTGGTAGAACACCACACCTCCACACATGCTTTTTATTGCACACTGACTTTGCCCACTAGTAAAACACGTTCAGATCAGATAAATACCTCTTCTCCTTTGGGAAGAAAGAGGTATAGTATAAGGAAGAGACTAGAAATACGGCCTTGTCCAGATAGATTTGTTGCCATTATTGTCATTTCAAAGATTGTGCTAGGTGGCAAAAGAAGAATCCACTGAGGCCTACCAAAGGACCCAGCTCAGGAAGCCTGTTAGGGCTCTGATTACCTCGTACTCCCATCCTTTTTCCAGTGTTAAAAATAAAGCTGTTCAGTGTGGCCCATGCATCACTTCCTGCATCAGTTAGAAATTACCATGTAACAAACCACCCACAGATGCCATGGTTTTAAGCAAGAGCAGAAGCTTCAGGGCCCCTGAGGACTAGGCCGAGACCTGCACATTGCACTCCTCCCATATTCTGTTGGTCAAAACAAGTCACTTGGCCAAGCCCACAGTGAAGAGGTAGAGAAATCAGCTTCATGTCAATATGAAAAGGAGCAGGAAAGCCACTGGCATCATGGGTATGTGACCAGGAAGGAGGCATGTGGCCATGTTTGCAAACAACACTAAGAAATCTCCTGTCAGATCTTGAACTTCCAGGTCCTCTCTGCTACCCAGGCTAACTTCTCTGTTACCCAGGGTGTCTGACCCTCATCTCAATGCTTATCCCCACCCCGCCCCCAGGTGGCCTGGCTGCTGTGATCTATACGGATGCCCTACAGACTCTGATCATGCTCATAGGAGCACTCATCCTGATGGGCTACAGTAAGTAGGGCCCCAGGGCCACTTGGGTGGGTGACGGGCCTCCTCTTAGGAAGGGACATCTGCTCTCGGTGATCAGCAAACCCAGCTGTCGAAAGCATACTTCTGGGGCATTCTGTCATGGGTGATTTCCTTAACGTGGTTATTTTAACTGGAAGAAAACTGAGCTTATGGAAATTCACAGGGTTTTAAAATTTTTTTAAGTTTAATCACTTATTTTGAGAGAGAGAGAGCATGAGTGGGGAAGGTGCAGAGAGAGGGAGAGAATCCCAAACAGGCTCTGCACTGTCAGCACAGAGACCGACATGTAGCTCCTACTCACAAATCATGAGATTATGACCTGAGCCAAAGTCATGGCTTAACTGACTGAGCTACCCATACGCCCCGGAAGTTTACTGCTTTTTAGGTAAAAATGAATAGTTCTCTTATATTGAGAGGGATAAATGATTAATCAATAAAAGGACCTAATGATAAACGCTCAAGTTAGCACGGGAAAGTTCGTGAAGAAACAAGATTTTTGCATGGTTTCTGTTACCGTCTAAGATATTTACTAATTGCAAAGGGGAAAAATAGTTGCTTTACAGTGGGGCAGCCTGGCATGCACCATTGTAGCTAAGTGATCACAGTTAACATCACAGGGAATAAGACATTGATATGTAACTGCTGATAGGGGTGAGAGGGACATAACGTATCCTCTGTCATGCTTGCCAAAAACATAAAACCTCAGTGTTACTCAGGAATGAACATCAGACATCCAGATGGAGGGTCATTCTACAGACTTCCTAACTAGTTCCTCCAGAGTGTCAAAGGCACGAGAAATAAGGAAAGACTCAGAAATTGTCTAGGAACAGGGGTCAGGGAGTGTAAACAAGGGTTTTACCTTAATACTCTGCCTTTCTGCACACTTTAAATCTTATGTGTGGCTTTCGTCTTCCAAACAAAACTTCAAAGAAATAATGATGGAATAATCATTTCACAACACAAACAAAAGCTGCTTATTATTAACTTTAACAAACGTTTTGGGCCCTCATGAAGAAGAAAACTTCAGTGGTATACTATATGTAAAGAGGAAATACAGGGGCACCCGGGTGGCTCAGTGAGTAAGCGTCCGACTTTGGCTCAGGTTGTGATCTCGTGGTTTGTGAGTTCAAGCCCCACATAGGGCCCTGTGCTGACAGCTCAGAGCCCGGGGCCTGCTTCAGATTCTGTGTCTCCCTCCCTCACTGCCCTTTCCCAACTTGCACTCTGTCTCTCAAAAATAAATAAACATTTAAAAAAAAAAGAGGAAGTGCAAATGAGTAACAAATAGGTGAAGGACAAATGTCCACCTTTATTTAAAAAATGCTCGGTGTGGTAACTCCTAAATACCAAACCTTTGAACCTCCCAGCCCTTCACAAGCTACTTACGACAGGTTTCAGAGACAGAGACCCAAAACAGATCTTCCCAAGGTCTGTTATTCTTAACAAAACATCTAGATCTTTCTCCACAAAACTATGGATTCTCAGTGGGGAAGTTCCATTTCTTAACCCATTATCGTCGGGCAGGAAAGAGGTTACAGATCACCCTCTGTAATCTTCATCAATCTGCTCTATTAGATTGTCTCCCAAGGTATCTGCAGATTTTCATATGTTGAAAGTTAACTGACCATATATGTGTGGGTTCATTTCTGTGTCCTCAATTCTGTCCCATTGATCTGTTTGTCTTTTTATGCCAACACTATACAGTTTTGGTTTCTGCAGCTTTATAAGAAGTTTGAAATCAGGAAGTATGATGCCTCCCACTTCGTTCTTTATCAATGTTGCTTTGGCTATTTGGGTCTTTTGTGGTTCTGTATGAATTGTAGGATGATTTTTTTTTTCTATTTCTGTGAAGAATGCTATTGAAAGTTTTATAGGGATTGCATTGAATTTGTAGATTGCAGGGTGCCTGGCTGGCTCAGTTGGTAGAGCATCTGACTTGTGACCTCAGGGTTAGGAGTTCAAGCCCCACACTGGGTGCAGAGATTACTTTTAAAAAAATTGCAGCAAGGGGCGCCTTGGTGGCTCAGTCGGTTGAGCATCCAACTTCGGCTCAGGTCATGATCTCGCGGTTCGTGGGTTCGAGCCCCGCGTTGGGCTCTGTGCTGACAGCTCAGAGCCTGGAGCCTGTTTCAGATTCTGTGTCTCCCTCTCTGACCCTCCCCTGCTCATGCTCTCTCTCTCTCTCTCCCCCAGAAATAAATAAAAAACATTTAAAAAAATTGCAGCAAAATACACAAAGCAAAACTTTATAGAAATAGGAGGAATTGACAGAAACCAAAATTGTACCAAAGGCTTTAACATGTGACAGGACAAAACCACAAATAAGGACTTAGAAGTTATAAATAATACTAATGAATAAACATTCTCATAAGAGCAAATATACTTTCTTCCAGCATTGAAGAACCATTTACAAAGATAAGTCATTGAAAAAATAACCCAAATTCACAAAAATACCCATGTGAGGTTGGATGGGGAGAGAACATGTCTATTTCATAAATCTGTAATTGACCGCTGGCAATTTTTTTCAATTCTAAATTTAGACAGTAATCTAAGGGGATTTTAGTAATACTTGTGACTGATTCGAAAAGAGACCTCAGATGTTTTGTTTTGTTTTTTAATTTATTTCTGAAAGAGAGAGAGAGAGACAGCGTGAGCAGGGGAGGGTCAGAGAGAGAGGGAGACACAGAATTGGAAACAGCCTCCAGGCTCTGAGCTAGCTTAGCTGTCAGCACAGAGCCTGACACGCGGCTTGAACTCACAAATGGTGAGATCATGACCTGGGCCAAAGGAGACCTCAGATGTTTTTACAGTTGTTGCTGATAGGTGGAAGTGTTTGTGCTCATGGCTACTTAGAAACTAAATTGTTCTTAGAGGTACGCCTGGCTGGCTTAGTCATTGGAGTGTGTGGCTCTTGACTTCAGGGTTGTGAGTTCGAACTCCATGGTGGGTGTAGAGATTACTTAAAAATAAAATCTTAAAAAAATATAAATTGTTATTAGACCCAGTGCTGGTTCTTACTGTTTAATGGAGCAAGTTACTAAATTACTAAGTCACAGTTTTTATGTTTCAATGATTGTCTTCAGAATATCTGGTTTCCTTTACAATCCTATGTATTTTGTATTATGTATTGATTATTAATATTCTTCTTTTAAAAGTGTTCATTCATTTTTGAGAGAGCGTGTGTGCAAGTGACGGAGGGGCAGAGAGAGAGGGAGACACAGAACCCGAAGTAGGCTCTAGGCTCTGAGCCGTCAACGTGGGGCTCAAACCCACAAGCTGTGAGATCATGACCTGAGCCCAAGTTGGACGCTTGACTGAGCCACTCAGGTGCCTCTGATTATTAATATTCTGAGAAGCAACACATAATCACTACCAAAGGCATTTAAAAAAAGTTAAGAACCTTGAAGGCGACCTACCTTCCTTAGTAGCTCTGTTCTAAGTAGGATTTCACCCATCTCTGACCATCCCCTTCCCACTTGCTGTGGATTACTCTGAGTTTCTGGCAAATTTGCTATTCCTCTGAATTCTAGGTTTCGCTGCGGTCGGGGGGATGGAAGGCCTGAAGGAGAAGTACTTCTTGTCCCTGGCTAGCAACCGGAGTGAGAACAGCAGCTGTGGACTGCCCCGAGATGATGCCTTCCATATTTTCAGAGACCCACTGACATCTGATCTCCCGTGGCCCGGGATCCTATTTGGAATGTCCATCCCGTCCCTCTGGTACTGGTGCACAGATCAGGTACAGGACAGCTGGCTGAGTGAGTGCCTTCCAGGACGCTTCTTTCCTTAAGGGACCGGAGATTTGGGGTTTTCCCTCCATCTGTTCTCTTGTTTGCATTCCCCGCCCCCTCACCCTCAAGCTCCACTACTTCCTTTCTGCAGCTGTATGTTACTTTACCTCTTGAGCTTGGTCATGTAGTGGCAAATTCAAAGCTATTAATATTTGCAAAGGGGAACTCTTTTTTTTTTTTTTTCCTCGAGAGAGAGAAAGAGAGGGTGCAAGTGAGTGAGGGGCAGAGGGAGAAAGAGAAAGAAGTGAGGCTCACCTGAAGTGGGGCTTGAGCTTATCTGATGTGGGACTTGAACTCATGGACCATGAGATCATTACCTGAGTTGAAGTTGAACGCTTAACTGACTAAGCCACCCAGGCGCCCCTCTATATGCATTTTAAAGAAGCCCTGGGTGCATGTAGGTAAAACTAAGAAGAGGAGTGCTCGTGGGCAGGGAGACAGGACAGATGCGCCAGGTTGGACAGGACTTGCACACCTGTTCATACTTTGTCAAGTTCCAAACCTGGTGAATTGTGATGTCTGTCCTGTTGAAGATCAGAGACCTGTGTACCGTTTTGGCCACTGTATTGCAGAGTCAGGGCAGGGCTGATGGATGTTTAACTGAAGTAGTGATCATGGCAGCAGAGTGTATGCAGGTGAACACTTTAGGGCACGGAGCCCAGATCCCCCCACAGGCCGCGATTCCTCTGCGCCTGGACGGTGGTGGGTGCAGCACGCATGTACCGCCCCTTTAAGAGAGAGACCGTCATTGGCAAATCTTCTGCCCCTCAGCCAATCTCATGTAGGGGGGGACCTTGGCACATAGGACAGATCTAGGTTAACAGCATGGGCTTTAAACTTCACAGGCTCAGGAGTGCCTGGGTGGCTCAGTTGATTGAGCATCTGATTTTGGCTCAGGTTGTGAGTTCGAGCCTCATTTTGGGCTCTGCACTGACAGCGTGGAGCCTGCTGGGATCCCCTGTCTCCTGCTCTCTCTGCTCTTCCTCCACCTCAGAAAAACATTAAATGGGGCATCTGGGTGGCTCAGTCGGTTAAGCGTCCTACTTCAGCTCAGGTCATGATCTCACTGTTCGTGGGTTTGAGCCCCACGTCAGGCTCTGTGCTGACAGCTCAGAGCCTGGAACCTGCTTCAGATTCTGTGTCTCCCTCTCTCTCTGCCACTCCTCCACTCACACTCTGTCTGTCTGCCTCTCAAATAAATATTTTTAAACAATTAAAAAAGAATCACATGTTCTACCCACTGAGCCAGCCAAATGCCCTGTGTTGCTGCTTTTGACACAGTTCAACAGCTTATATTATTTATGAATTTGTACACATATTTCTTTGAGATTCCTCAATCCCTTCTTCGTTGGGGTTCCAGCATGCACCCCTTGAAAGCCACCTCCAACCCACCTTACATGGTTCTGGAGCCTGGGGACTTAGTCACAGAGGACTTGGTCTCCTTCCATATGCCAGGCAGGGCAAGAGGGCCTAGAAACCCAAGCACTCCTTGACCCTGTGACTTTGGTCTTGACCACACAATGTAGCTGCTGACCTAGATTCTGTAGAGTCCTGATAAGGTTGGTTCACTGCGCTGATGCTTCCCTAGGGAACACACAGCTGGGTCAGCCCTCTGTCTAGGCTGCTTTTAGAATAGGAGAGAGGCAATGCAGCCTTCATGATCCACAGACACAGAATATTCCAGATCTTACTGGGTAGAGAATGAAAAGGTAAATAACAGACCATTGTAATGGCACTTACACATGTAATGGCACTTACACATTTCCCGGTGCTGCACCGTTGCCGACCCTGATCTGAGCACTCTATGAAGTAATTCCTTTTCATAGCATTCCCATGAACTTTGGTTCAATGAGTTGGGCCCAGAGGTTGCCATACAGGGTGACCTCGCCCAGGGCTTGTGGGTTTTCCAGGAGCATAGCTCTCTTCAGACTTACTCAGCTGCCTCTTTTTTTTTTTTTTTTAAGTTTATTTATTTTGAGAGAAAGATAAAGTCTGAATGGCAGAGGGAGAGAGAATCACAGGCAGGCTCTGTGCTGTCAGCGCAGAGCCCATCATGGGGCTCAAACTCACAAACTGTGCGATCATGACCTGAGCTGAAATCAAGAGTCAGAGGCTTAGCTGACAGCCATGCAGGCACCCCTCCTTACGTTTTTAGTAGTTCATTCTAAAGTGTTCTAGGAAGCCTCAATAGGTATGTGTCTGGAGTTGGGAGAAATAACGTGTAACAGTTAAACCAACTTCTAAACAAGGGCATCTGCCTTCCCTGCTCTGGAGAGAGAGTCTATCACTGGGGCATCTGAACAAATCTCATTTGTGCGTGTCGAGCCTTCAGAAACTGCTAGAACTTATTCTGGTTTCCTTCTGCTTTATCTGACTTGCTCATCTCTGACTTCGTTGCCTCCCAGTGCAGACCAGCAGGAAAGAAGCTGACAAGTCCTTAAGTCTCAATTCAAAACTCATGCCGAAGGGCCTGGTGTGCCCAAGATGACAGGATAGCTGTGTGAATGGATGTGGAGGGGAGGGGCGGGTTTTGAAAGAAGGGGCAGGACACTCGAGGAAGCCTACACCATTTTTTAAAAAGTTTATTTTTGAGAAAGCATGAGCTGGGGAAGGGCAGAGAGACAGAGAGGGATCCAAGTAGGCTCCTCATTGTCAGCATGGAGCCCAGTGCGGGGCTGGATCCCATGTCAAGTCATGATCTCACAGTTCATGAGATGGAGCCCTGAGTCAGGCTCTATGCTGATAGCTTGGAGCCTGCTTGGGATTCTCTCCCCCTCCCCCCCGCCCAAAATAAATAAACATTAGGATGATGATAATAATAATAAAGCATGGCTGTTATCCTCGTTTTGTAGATGAGAAGACTGAGGCCTGGGGAGGTTAAGGAACTAGTTCAAGCTGATTTAGTGAAGACTGTAGCTGTTTCTAGGGGGAGAAAATAGTTTAAGCATAAAAAGGCATTTTTAACTTCATAACTGGGAAGCCAGAGGTGGCTAATGACAGTGGTAAACAACTATTTATCGGGCAGTTTCTATGTGTCAGACATACTCTTCTATTATCTAAATGTTTTTACTTCATTTAATTGTTAAAAACTGTCCTTACATTACCTCCCACTTTATCAATGAGGAAACGGAGTTAAAGAGAGGTAAAAGTGTACACCCACTGTCGCATGGCCAAGAAGCGGAGCGGCAGGATCTGAACCCTGGAGTTACATTGTAAACCAGACCTGGCTGGAGTAAGGGCTCATACTATGTCACCAGAAGTTGTTTCTCTTTCTCTACAATTCCTGGTTTTCTTTCCTCTGAGATGACTTCAGTTTTAAAGGATCTTTTCCAAAATATAATGGTAGAGATTCAGCAGGTGGTCTGAGCTGTCTTCACCCTTGGCAATTCCAACAGAGGCTGTAGGTGCCAGGGTGCCTCTTTTCTTTTGCCTCTTAAAAAAATTTTTTTTTTAATGTTTATGTTTCAGAGAAGGAGAGACAGAGCATGAGCGGGGAAGGGCAGAGACAGAGAGGGAGACACAGAATCCACAGCAGGCTTCAGGTTCTGAGCTGTCAGCACAGAGCCTGACATGGGGCTCAAACCTACGAGCCATGAGATCATGACCTGAGCCGAAGTCAGATGCTTAACTGACTGGGTCACCCAGGCGTCCCATCTATTCTTTGCCTTTTTTAGAAAGACATTCCATGGAAAGTTGTAATTGCCCACCTTTGATTCATACTTTTCCTTAAATAAAAATGGTAGCTGGAGAAGTAGAGTAACTCTATGGAGAAATCTAATTGGTCAGATCTGATCCCAGGATAAAAGAATGGCGAAGGAACAAAATAGGATTCTTAGCTCCAAGTGGACCACAGGGTTTGGAGATAGGAAAGTGATGTTTCCTCAAAGAGAAGCCAAGCAAACCAAGACCCTAAGTGCATGACAGGTACTAAGGAGCTGTGCACACTTAGTTTGCCGTTACAGAGGGCCTCCTCACCTTCAGCCACCCCATTGTTTTCCAGGTGATCGTTCAGCGGTCTCTGGCGGCCAAGAACCTGTCCCATGCCAAAGGAGGCTCTCTGATGGCTGCCTACCTGAAGGTGCTACCTCTCTTCATGATGGTGTTCCCTGGAATGGTCAGTCGTGTCCTCTTCCCAGGTGAGAAAACAGGGAGAAGAGGCCGTCTGTCTTTGAGTCTCAGACCCTGTGACACATTCTAAATGTATGACTGTCATCAGAGAACGGGACTAGAGTTCCTGCAGTGATTTGACTGAGGTATCTCCGTCCAGGCATCTCTGACTCTGTACTGTTTCCCAACAGGGGTTCAGTGGGAATATCTAGCATGTGTTCAGTCGTGTGTATATACCCGTGTGTATTTTTTTTTTTTTTGGGACCACAAACTAGGCTAAGAGCTTGTGGTTACAGATGTCGGTTTCCTAAAGCCCAGCATGAGAGTCCCTCTTAATGCTTGACTATTTCAGCTCCATTCTTCAGTCATTTTGGCCCAGTGGAACCCTTCTGGGGGTATTTAACAAAAATCAAGGATATAGCCTCTAGAATATTTGCTGTAGGAAAGTTTTTGTCAGTCTGGTAAAGTGATGATGTTTGCTCTGTGTGGATCAACAGGCCTGAGGGGAGGGTGTTATTGGGAGTCACGGTGATGTCAGGAACTGCTGATCTGTATGGAGGAAATTTCCTCTTTTTCCACATCAGTGAGTTTTTCTCTCATGCCCACCAAGGCTGTTATTAACCTAAAGAGGAGTGTAACCTCGAGTGAGTCCTCCTTTGTGCTTTATCCTACACAGTGCAGTGTCACATATTGGTCAAGAAAGGGTAGGTTGGCCCAGAAATTTTGTCAAAATAGTTCAGGACAATAAGCATTAGGAGGAAAGAACTGGGGAAGGAAATTGCGGGGCACTGTCCCTGGTGCTAGACCTTGGGCTCAAAATGCTGCAGCCCAGATGGCATGAAGACCACAGTTACTGGGCCTGTTTCCAGGGAAAGTACACAAGGCTTGCAAAAACCCCAAGGAGAATAATAGCTGGGATTTGGGATTTGTGGTGACTTGATGGAAAATACACGGCTACTGAGTAGGCTTAACATATGAACAAAGAGTGTAGCTTTAAACAACCTGCATTCATGATGCTGAGTCTTACAGAGAGTGCAGTGGTAATGAATATGAACTCTGACTTGAACGGTGGAGCCAGAATCCCGGCTCTGCTACTTGCTAGCTGTGTGACCTTGGAAAGCCACTTGCCTCTGCTTCCTCACTCGTAAAATGGGGATAATACTTCATGAGTGTAAAGCAGTTCGTGGCACAAGGTAAACACTGTACTAGTGTTTGCTCTTTTTTTTTAAACGTGTTATATTATTTATTCCTCAAAACATCCTTAGGAGGTAGGTACTATTAGGGCTGTTTTCATTTACAGACGAGGACATTGAAGCTCATAGAAATCAGTTAATCCACTCATTTATTTATTCTTCCGTGTGTCCACCAAGGACCCCGAGAGCCAATGATCTGCCAGGCCTTATTCTAGAAGAGGCCGGGGATCCGTAATTGAAGAAGACAGACCGTATCCCTGCTGTTGCCAGGCTCACATTCTAGTTCTGGAGGGTAAAAAGATAATAAATAAGGCATTCGTTGATTGTGTTGACAGCTGTGAGTGAGAGGCACAGGAGGTGTCGCGGGGAATGCTGGGTAGTGGTTTCTTCCGACAGGCTTTCCAGGCCCTCTGTGAGGAGGCAACAGTTGATCCATAAAGGGGCACCTGGGTGGCTCAGTTGGTTAGGCATGCACCCTCGGCTCAGGTCATGATCTCACGACTCAACGAGTTTGGGTCCCACTTCGGGGTCTGTGCTGACAGCTCGGAGCCTGGAGCCTGCTTCAGACTCTGTGTCTTCCTCTCTCTCTTCCCCTCCCCTGTTCATGATCTGTCTCTGTAAAACATAAACATTTAAAAAAAAAAGGTGATCCATGTGGATGGTTTCAAAATACATTTCAGAGTGGAGCCAATACAATTTTTTTAAGTTTATTTATTATAAGAGAGAGAATCCCAAGCAGGTTCTGCACTGTCAGCACAGAGCCCAATGTGAGGCTCAAACTCACCAACTTTAAGATCATGACCTGAGCTTAAATTAAGAGTCAGGCTAGCCCACTGAGCCACCCAGGCGCCCCATCATGCTAATGTATCTTAAGATTTTTTTTAAGTTTGTTTATTTTGAAAGAGAGAGATAGAGCATGGTGGGGAATGGGCAGAGAGAGGGAGAGAGACAGAATCTCAAGCAGGCCCTGCATTGTCAGTATAGAGCCCGATGCAGGGCTTGAACTAATGACTCATGAGGTCATGACCTGAGCAGAAACCAAGAGTCTGACGCTCAACTGACTGTGCCACCCAGGTGCCCCTCATGTTACTGTATCTTTCATTAAATTACACCTTAAGTTTTGGATCAGCGTCTGGAAGATCCATCACATGACCCGGACCCGAAGGTATATGTGCCGTCTTTATCTGTAGCATCTGAGTCAGAGTGAACCTTCAGTGACTCTTGGCATTTGGAAACAGGTTTTGTGTTGTTGGGATATGAAATTGCCAGAAGCATCCTTCATGTCAAGCACCAGAGGATCTGACAAAAGAACCCACCGCAGAGCTGAAATGGTTGATTAATTAAGGCGTGTGGATGGTTGTTACTCAGTGGTGGGTTAATGATCCACCAGGCTGTTGGTTCCAAGTGTAACTTCGCCGAGCGACTCATATCCTTAAGATGAAGGCTTCTTGAAGCTGAACAGACAAGGACAGTGCCTCAAACGTGGTTTGTAAACTGTCCCATTTCATGGTTGAAGGCTGCATGTCTAGAAGGCTAAACAACCTAAAGTTAACAACCAAAGGTTAAACTGTGTAGCTAATTAAGTATCGCAGGGAGAGGCTTGCTCCTTCTAGATGTACCTTGAAGAGAGGGGCTTTTGGACAAAAAGAAGCAAAGCCCATATGATCTGAAGGTGTACGAGGCCTTTGCCCGACCTAGGAGGCTCCTTACCATGTTCTGGGCATGGGAATGGCACTACTTCCTTATCTTTTAAGGCTTCTCAGAAGAATCATAAAAAGCCAAGAACTTTGAACTCTCAAAATCATTTTTCTTAAGATTGTTTCAGCTCAAGACTTTTCATCAAATGTCACTTTTGGTCCAGTTTTAATTTTATCTAAGGCTTGAGCCAGAGTTTTGGGGGCATCTACTTCTCTTCCGTAGCAATTGTATTATTACTTGTGGCCACAACAACATTGGTGGATATAAGTGGAGTAAAGGGACCTGTCCTTGAGCAGACATGACAATGCGTGGGGAAATTTTACAAAGACCAGTGTGACTTTGGACTTGCCAGTGGATGAAAGGGCGAAGAGTACTTCCATTTCTGAGGTCTTATGTTACCAAAAGGAAGTTATGACAATAAAACGCAATATTGCGTTTTAAAAAAATATTTATTTTTGAGAGAGAGAAAGAGAGACAGAGTGCAGGCTGGGGAGGAGCAGGGAGAGAGGGAGACACAGAATCCAAAGTGCTCCAGGTTCTGAGCTGTCAGCACAGAGCTTGACTTGGGGCTTGAACCCACATACTGCGAGATCATGACCTGAGCTGGAGTTGGATGCTTAACCAACTTAGCTACCCAGGTATCCCAGTATTGCATTTTAAAGTTGTGGTGTCCTTTGACATTTATTAAATTGGCAGTTTTAATGCAGGTAAAAATACAGAGTATACAATCTCTTCTATGATACTGTCCAACATCTACTTTTGAGGCCTCAGCTAAATGGTTATCATGGCACTGGAATTGCATTGGAACGGGGGAGGAAATCAGCATGAACAGTGAAGGGCTCCAGGTTCACTTGTAAACTGAAGTTCAAGTTGGGCTGAAAAGCATTGTTACCCTTCAAAATGAAGACAAAGGACTGAAGCCTTTGGATTGAGCATAGGGACCCAGGAGTGATTCATGGGAGTTATTTTTTGGTCTGTCTGGCAGAGGAGACTTGAGAGCCCACAAGTGGCTCAGCTGGAGTGAGGGGTGTTGGGTAGGTGTTGGCACAGCAGTAAGGAGTTTTGGTCAGCTCAGATACCAGGAGCTGAGGAAGTCAGAGGTGAGAGGGTGACAGGAAAGGTACTCAGATGCAGGTGCCAAACCATTGAGACCATACAGAGTTCTGAAGGAAGGTCCCAGTGGCCAGGATTGAGCCTTGGATGGGATGATTGGCCGACTCGTTAAAGATGGAAAAGCATATACTCGCTGTCTTTGTCTTCCTTCTCTGCAAAATTGGATTGAGGGTCAGGAGACCCGGGCTTCAGCTCTGCCTCTGACATGACCTTGCGAGGTGTTTATAATCAATCAGGTCCCTCGCCCTGATTCCTTTTTTGTGAAATAGTTAGAGTAATCTCTGCCTTCCTCAGTTATGAAAAAGTGAACAGCAGTTCTGTGATCGCTAGTCGTGGCCCCAAGGAAATTTATTGAGCCCCAGAATGCCGTCGGGGAGGGAAAAGCCCTGACACAGAATTGTCGTGAAAGGAGGAGAGAAATCCAGCCAGTGTGGTTGGGTTGTTCTGAGCCTACAATGAGAACAGCTGTTGAGGAGACAGGGAAAGAAAGATTTAAAAATATTTGCCATGTGTCAGTCGATGGCATTCTCCTTGGTACTTCCAACAAACTGCAGACAGGATGTGAATTGCTTGTGCCCCCCCTTTGCGGGGGTCCAGGGATGCCGCCTGATGTAGGGCACAGTGGGGAGAGTGGCTGCGAGGTAAGCCAGTTTTTTTGGGTTACAGTAATAACAGCTACAGTGTATCCAGCCCATCCTACATATCAGACTGTGTTAGCGTGTGACGTATGTCATCTTGGCCGAGCCCTGCTGTAATCGTTATGTTACAGCCATGGCAAGGTGAAATTAGAAGGTCATGGTGTACAGAGTCCAGGCTCCTTTATTTCCAGAGCTATGCGTGAATGTACAATGACCCTGTCTCCTGGCGCTGGCCTGCATCCGTCAGGCCATGTTTTGGTCAGGCCTGGGCTCAGAGGTTCTGTCTGCTCACTCGGAGCCCTGTTTTCTCCACAGATCAAGTGGCTTGTGCAGACCCCGAGACCTGCCTGAAGGTCTGTAGCAATCCTTCTGGCTGCTCAGACATCGCGTATCCCAAACTTGTGCTGGAACTCCTGCCCACAGGTAATGTCCCCTCACCCCTAAATAGCGTCCCCTGGAGCGTCCAGAAGGGAAGACCTCCACTGGGCCCTGACCTGAAGGAGGGACAAGATGGGAGGGTAGCAGGAGCCTCAGAGCCAGGGCCCCCGAATAAAACCCGGGTCCTGGCCCTCCAGGGGTTTCTGCCTGACTCCCCACAGCCAACCTCAGCCCCTCCTCATGGTTCCCCTGAGTTCTGCCTCCTCCCAGTGGCACCGACTGGGAACAGCTGGCGCTATGGGTCTGGGGTAATGGTGTTCTGAGTGGAGGTAACAGCCGTGGGAGGAAAAACCTGAGGCCCATAGCCCTCCCTCTTGCCCCCAGGGCTCCGTGGGCTCATGATGGCTGTGATGGTGGCGGCGCTCATGTCCTCCCTCACCTCCATCTTTAACAGCGCCAGCACCATCTTCACCATGGACCTCTGGAATTACATCCGGCCCCGGGCATCTGAGAGGGAACTCATGATTGTAGGCAGGTAAGTTCATGCTGAGCGGGGCCGGGGGAGGGGAGTGAAAAGTCCTGCATACCCAGGGAGGAGGAAGCTGAGCCCACCCAGAGGCTAAGTCCCACCAGCCACTCATGCTGGAGGCCCAGCCTCCTCTGATGCCAAAGGTGAGGTTCCTTAGGACTCTGCAAGTAAATCACTCATCCAAGAGATGTTTCCTGAGCACCTGTTATGTGTCAGGTGGCTAAATGCAGAGCAGTGCAAAGCAAAGATTTAGTTCTTGCCTTCACAAAAGTAGAGAAGAGAATTAAAGAGAAACGATAATTAAAGGAAATTACAGGGCGCCTAGGTGGCTCAGATGGTTAAGCATCCAACTCTTGATTTTGGCTCAGGTCACAATCTCATGGTTTGTGGCATTGAGCCTAACATTGGGCTCTGTGCTAACAGCCTGGAGCCTGCTTGGGATTCTCTCTTTCCCTCTTTCCCCCTCCCCTGCTCATGTGCTCTCTCTCTCTCTCTCAAAATAAGTGAATAAACATCTTTTTTTCTTTTTTTTAATTTCTAGGAGAGAGAGAGAGAGACAGCGTGAGCAGGGGAGGGTCAGAGAGAGAGGGAGTCACAGACTGAAACAGGCTCCAGGCTCTGAGCTGGCAGTCAGCACAGAGCCCGACGCGGGGCTCAAACTCACGAACCGCGAGATCATGACCCAAGCGAAAGTCGGACGCTTAACCAACTAAGCCACCCAGGCGCCCCTGAATAAACATCTTTTAATTTAAAAAAATAAAAGGAAATTACAACCCCAGTGAGTACTCTGATCAGGAGCCCAGAGTGCCACCTGGACTGGGTGGACCCCATGGATGAAGCCTGGTAAAAGGGAGCAAGGGATTCTGGGGACTCCGCGAAGGTTTTTCTATCAAGGCTTTTGCAAGGTACTGAAGTCTAGTGGGGGGAACAGAAGTGACCAAAATGGGTGTCATGCAAATTTTATGTAAAATACATGCTAATAAAGCATCTTGGGGCCTTGAGGGCTGTTTCAGTCTTGGGTTAGTGAAAGAGTTCTTAGGTCGAACACAGAAAACATAACCCATAAAACTAAAAAAAATAGGGGCGCCTGGGTGGCTTAGTCGGTTAGGCGTCCGACTTTCACTTAGGTCATGATCTCACGGTTCGTGGGTTTGAGCCTCGCATCGGGCTCTGTGCTGACTGCCAGCTCAGAGCCTGGAGCCTGTTTCAGTCTGTGACTCCCTCTCTCTCTGACCCTCCCCTGCTCACGCTGTCTCTCTCTCTCTCCTAGAAATAAATAAAAACATTAAAAAAAAAAAAAAACTAAAAAAATAAATTAGACTCATCAAAAGCTAAAAGGTTTTCACTTCAAAAGACACCATTAAGGAAATGAGAAGAGAAGCCACAGATAAGGAGAAAATATTTGCAAGCCATGTAAGTTGACAAAGGACCTGTGATCTGGATCAATCTACAAAATGAGATTGTAACCCTAGAAAGCTACAGTGAGATACCACAACACACTCCCTAGAATGGCCGTAATGAAAAAGACAAGGAGGGGCATCTGAGTGACTTTGTTGGTTGAGCTTCCGACTTTGGCTCAGGACATGATTTGTGGGTTCGAGGCCCACGTCAGGCTCTCTGCTGTCAGTGCAGACCCTGCTTCAGATCTTCTGTTCTCCCTCTGTTCCTCTTCCACTCGCGTGCATGCCCATGCGTGTGCTCTCTCAGAAATAAACATTAAAAAAAAAAGACGAGGTAGAGAAATTAGAACTTTAATAACACTGCAAGTGGGAATGTAAAATGGTCCAACTGTTTAACAGTTGGGCAGGGTTTTTTTTAATGTTAATTTATTTTTGAGGGAGAGGGTGTGAGCAGGGGTGGTGCAGAGAGAGAGGGGACAGAGGATCTGAAGGGGGCTTGGTGCTGACAGCAGAAAACCCGATGTGGGGCTCAAACACATGAACTGCGAGATCATGACCTGGGCCGAGGTCGGATGCTTAACTGACTGAGCCACCCAGGCACCCCAGCAATGGATGTTCTAAACCTTGATTGTGTTACGGGACTGTACACTTAGACTTACGATGGGTGACTGTCACGGTGTGAAAAGTCTGCCTCACTACGGCTGTTGAAAAGAGTGATAGCAGTAAGTGTCCGGGGACCACACTAAGCAGGGTCTCTCTCGGCCTGGTGGCAGAGTGTTTGTGCTGTTGCTGGTGCTCATCTCCATCCTCTGGATCCCCGTGGTTCAGGCCAGCCAAGGGGGCCAACTCTTCATTTACATCCAGTCCATCAGCTCCTACCTGCAGCCACCCGTGGCTGTGGTCTTCATCATGGGATGCTTCTGGAAGCGGACCAATGAAAAGGTATCTCTGGACGAGTCCCCACCACGCAAGAAGCAGGCGCCACCCCGGGAAGACATAGGTGGCGTCTCAGGGGAGGAAGTTCTGTGGAGGGAGGTCTGGGGCGGATGCCACCTGGCCTTTGAAAAGCAGCAATAGTGATTCTGTGTTGATGCATTTGGTCATTAAATGGGGAAGCTAAATTAATAAGGAGTGAGTCAGTTATGCATAAATGATTAGTTACCTAACTGCTAAGTGGCCTCCCATCCTTTTCAAATCCCTGATACCCGCATCAACCATCCCTAGAAAGCCAAGCTCTTGAGAACAGCTTGTCGAGGTCGAGGTCCGTAGTGGCCCAGGCTGGCCGCCCTTGACCCTGGACGTCTCTAAGATGGCCTTGCTCTGATTTACAGGGTGCCTTCTCAGGTCTGATCTTGGGCCTCCTCCTAGGCTTGGTTCGACTGGTCCTGGACTTTGTTTACGTGCAGCCGCGGTGTGACCAGCCCGATGACCGCCCTGCCGTGGTGAAGGACGTCCACTACCTCTATTTCTCCATGATTCTATCCGCAGTCACTCTGATCACTGTTTCTGCTGTGAGCTGGTTCACGGAGCCACCCTCCAAGGAGATGGTACAGTTGGGTCTGGGATTATAGAACCATGGAGAGCCTCGCCGCAAGCAGACCAACCCACTTGGCCTTGAAAGAGAGGGTCTGATTGTTCAAAGAGCTGGGACATCTGGAGTTGGGCTTGAGGGACAGCCTGGTTCAGGACTGAGGATCATCGGAATCCGTCCTTATTTCTGCCTCTATTTTCAGGCACCACAGGGTGGAGGAGGTGGGGATTGGCAGCTTCCAAGCTTTTTATCTTCCATGCTCATTAAGCAATAGCAGAAACATGTTCATTCCAGCATTTCTGGCAAAGCTCCTGATTCCCGTCGATGGGGTCAGCTCGACACATGTACCCGTGAACCAATTCAGTCCCTGTAGCTAGAGAAATACATGTGCTGAGTGGCTCGTGGGCAGGTCCTCCTCAATTCCTGGCCAGGGTTAAGCCCCAGGGGCTGGAATGAGGGGGGGGCTCCCAACAGAACTGGGGCTGCTGAAGTCACCTGGTGGAGTCGTGGGGGAAATGCCCATGGCGTCTGAAGAGTGCCTGGATTTGGAGCTCATGGGAGGTGCAGTGACAGGGCAGAGCTGGGGACAGTCTCAGACCTGAAGCTGAACACGGGGTCGAGCAAGGGACCCCTGTCTTCTAACCCATTCCTGCTCCCTAGGTAAGCCGCCTGACCTGGTTTACTCGTCATGACCCTGTGGTCCAGAAGGAACAGCAGCTCCCACCAGCAACTCCCCTGCCTCTTCCCGTCTCTCAGAACGGGGCTCCAGAGAGCAGCATCACCACCATCCAGTTGGAGATCATTCAAGAAAACACATCCAAACCCCACAGCTGTGAGTGGTCTCTCCTCAGTTATAGTCGAAGCCCAGGAAGAGTTCTCTGTTTCAGGGGGGAAGTTTTCTACAAAAGCACAAGCCAGAGAACGGGCAGAATTGGAGTTTTAGCCTCCCCTGACTTCCAGTGTCCAGCCCCTGCAAGTGGGTTCTGCAGGAACTTGTTCTTTTTCTTTCTTTCTTTCTTTAATGTTTATTTTTGAGAGACAGAGAGACCACACACACAAGCCGGGGAGGGGCAGAGAGCAAGGGAGACACAATCCGAAGCAGGCTCCAGGCTCTGAGCTGTCAGCACAGAGCCTGAAGCGAGGCTCGAACCCACAGACTGTAGGATCATGACCTGAGCCGAAGTCCAATGCCCAACCGACTGAGCCACCCAGGCGCCCCTAAGTTTATTTAATTTGAGAGAGAGAGAGAGCATGCTCCAGGGGAGGCTCAGAGAAAGAGAGAGAGAATCCCAGGCAGGCTCTGCACCGTCAGCACAGAGCCTGATGCAGGGCTTGAACTCACAAACTATAAGATCATGACCTGAGGCGAAATCAAGAGTCAAAGGCTTAACCCACTGAGCCACTTGGGTGCCCCCTCGGTAGAAAGAAGCCTTGCTGGGAAGCAGTAGCAGCAAACACTTGTTGAGCACCTCCTAAAACATGGCTCGCCTGATCCTCACAAAATCCCACAAGGCAGCTGAACTACTGGCATCTTTATAAAGTACACTGGTTTCAAACTGGCAGCTTGCAGACACTGGTTTAGCCCACCTACCATTTCAGTGAAATGTGACTTAACATTTAAAAATCGGGAGATTTCATATTAAATTCCAGATACCCGTCTTATAACAACTCTTGGCCCACGTGTCTGCACGACTGCCGTTGTCTGGAGCTTGTAAAATAGGCGCCTTAGCCCTGGGGTGTGCCCTTTAATTAGCCAAGGTCCCCACCAGCCCCTGTTATGTCCACGTGGGCTGTCATTTATCATCACACGTGGCCTTGTATGTATGTCTACATATACATGCACGTACATACATGCATACATGCCATGGCTACGTGTCTACATCAGCCTCACGGGAGACACAAGTATAAATCCTAGAGGCTGTGTGTTTCAAGAAACACACGAGATGCATAAAGTATTTGTTACTGTGCGGAACACAGCCGGTTGGTCCCCTCGGTGTCTTCTCTGGGAGACACAGCCCATCCTTGTGACGTTTGTTTGGGCTCGTTTAGGTGACACGACGCCAGAGCAGTCCAGAGTGGTCCGGGCCGTCCTGTGGCTCTGTGGGATGGAGAGCCGGGGCAAGGAGGAGCCCCCCAGCAAAGCGGAGCCCGTCATCGCCTCCTTGGAAGAAAACCCACTGGTGAAAACCATCCTGGACATCAACCTCATCGTGTGTGTTAGCTGCGCCGTCTTCATCTGGGGCTACTTCGCTTAACACGGGGCGACCCCAGGGCTGCAGGCGCTCGGTCTCTTTCCCATGCTCTGTTTTTGTAATGAAAGAATATAAATAATACAGCTTTGTTTAGCACGAGGCTTCCCAGGAGTTCTTCCCGGACATTTCCAACATGACATTGAGTTCTTTTCTTCTTTTTTTCTAGTTTATTTATTCATTTTTGAGAGAGAGCAAGCCAGGGAAGGGCATAGAGAGAGAGAGAGAATCCCAAGCAGACTCCTTGCTGTCAGTGCGAGCCCGATACGGGGCTTGAACCCACGACCAGGAGATCATGACCTGAGCTGAAATCAAGGGTTGGGCACCTCTTCTTAAAAGACAATGGAGGGGCGCCTGGGTGGCTTAGTCGGTTAAGCGTCCGACTTTGCTTAGGTCATGATCTCGCGGTTCGTGGGTTCGAGCCCCGCGTCGGGCTCTGTGCTGACTGCCAGCTCAGAGCCTGGAGCCTGTTTCAATCTGTGACTCCCTCTCTCTCTGACCCTACCCTGCTCACGCCGTCTCTCTCTCCTAGAAAAAAAAAA